ATCGACGTTTCTGGCTCTCTATTTCTTTCTCTTCCTCTCTGTGAAAAATCAATAAAATATGAAAAAAAAAAAAAAAAAAAAAAAAGAATGGTGAGATAGCCCTGACCGGTTTGGCTCAGTGGATAGAGTGTCAGCCCGCGCACTGAAGGGTCTCAGGTTCAATTCCGGTCAAGGGCATGTACCTCGGTTGCGGGCACATCCCCAGTAGGGAGTGTGTGGGAGGCAACTGATCAAAGTTTCTCTCTAATAGATGTTTGTTTTTTTTAATCTTGTTTTTAACTTTTTTTTTTAAATATATATTTTATTGATTTTGTACAGAGAGGAAGGGAGAGAGATAGAGAGTTAGAAACATCGATGAGAGAGTGTCATCAATCAGCTGCCTCTTGCACACTCCCTACTGGGGATATGCCCGCAACCAAGGTATATGCCCTTGACCAGAATCGAACCCGGGACCTTTCAGTCCCCAAGCCGACGCTCCATCCATTAAGCCAAACTGGTTTTGGCTTGTTTTTAACTCTTCATCCCTCTCCCTTCCTCTGGGGGGAGGAGGGAGTCAATAAAATATATTTAAAAAAACACACAAAAACCATTAAAAAAAAAAAGAAAAGAATGGTGAGATAGCGAACTGGCATGGTTCAATGGTTGGTTGAGTGATCTAGAACCAGGTGGTCAGGGATCGATTCAAGGTCAGGGTTCAATTTCTGGTCAGGGCACATGCCTGGGTTGTGGGCTCAATCCCAGGGTGGGATATGCAGGAGGTAGCCAATCAATGATTCTCTCTCATCATTGATGTTTTTCTCTCTCCCTCTCCCCTCCTCTCTGAAATCAACAAAATGTTTCCTTTCCTCCCTTCCACTCTCCCTAAAAATCAATGGAAAAAATAATCCTGGGATGAGGATTAACAACAACAACAAAAAATGGTGATATAAAAATTTTATTTTTCTGTGTGGCAAAGCAACTTAAAAACAAAGTCAAAAGACTTATGAGAGCCCTAGCCTGTTTGGCTCAGTGGATAACGCCTGCAAACTAAAAGGTCCCAGGTTTGATCCTCAGTGGGGGGACTTGCAGGAGGCAGCCGATCCATGATTCTCTCTCATCATTTATGTTTCTCTCTCTCTCTCATTCTTCCTTCCTCTCTGAAATTATATATATATATATATATATATATATATATATATATATATATATTTTTTTTTTTTTAAAGACAAATGAGAAAATTGCAAAAACACTTGACAAATAATGGCATTACTATCACTAATATGCACAGAAGTTGTATAAAGTGATAACTCTCATTTTTTCAAACAGACAAAAAACAGGCATAAACAACCATACAGGAGGCAGTTGATCAATGGTTCCCTCATCACTGATGTTTCTCTCTCTCTCCCTTTCTCCCTGAAATAAATATATATATAATATTATATATATTATATATAATTGATTTATATATATGTATAGATAAATCAGTATATATATATATATATATTTATATATATAAAATAAAGATAACCCATAAAAGAAATGTAAAAGGCCAACAGACATAGAAAACTACTAGTGGTCATGAAAATGCTAGGTACTATTTTTCACCCATAGATAGCCAAAAATTACAAAGATGATAGTGAGGATGGCAAGGGTTAGGTGACACAAGCATTGCATGCATACTCTACTGGTGGGAGTATGAAATAATATAATCTTATTGGAAAATAACTTGGCACTACTAATAAAATTAAAAATATATAGATTCAACCCAACAATTCCACTCCTGGATCACTGAACTACATAAACAAAAACCATGATTAATTACACAAAGAGATAAATACAAGTTTATTAATCACAGCATTGTAGTGCCAAAAATTATAAATAACTTGAATGTCCTTCGTAAGGGGGAATAAATTATGGTAGCTATATTATGGAATATAATTAGTTTTCTAAAAGGAAGAGTAAGATCTATAGGTATCGATGCCCATGATAGAATGTTAAATGGGAAAAAGAAAATAAGCAGGCTTTAGATATTGTGTAGCATGCCATTTGCTTTAAAAAGCAACCCTATGTATAGGAATGAACAGTTTTATACTTTTTGTAACAGTATTAAGAAAAACAAGTGAAGCCTTCTTTGATAAGTGGGAGCTGGTTAAGATTAATATTGTTGACTTTTCCCTGTATACTTTTGGTTGTTTGACATTTTGCAAAATGTAAGTTTTGCTTTTATAATAATAAAAGGAAAATCCACCTTCTTTGGTGTGTTTTGGTGGTGGGGTTTTTTAATCAATCATCCCAACATCTGTGAAGGTCTAAAGGTCTGTGCGATTTATATGGACCAATAATGATCAGGAACACAAAGAGGACACTGAGTTAGAAAAGTTAGAGATAAATACATATAAATCCATTAGACTAATTTTGCAACAAGACAAAAAAAAAAAAAAAAGACTTAAAAACCCAACAGGCTTATTTTGAACTACTATAAAAGAAACTATTGGGGGGGGGGGGGGAGAGCTGTTTTCCTACTTACTCTAAAAATCTTAGTAGTTGTCAGCATGGCTTTGATGATGAAGATGCTCACCTAGTAACGCATCAACAAATCTCCCAATCAACAGGATCCTGACTCTCTTTTTCTTCATAATTCATCTTAAGGTAGCAGAAGGCTTTAATACTGTTTTCCCAAAAAGTGTTCATTAAATGGATCAGGGCTATATTTTGAAAGATTTCTGAATCAAAAAGTATTTATAAAGAGGATATTAATAGAGCCTAAAATTGAGAAGTGTTTCCAATCACTTCAAAAGCTCATTTATCCAACCCTCGCTCAAACTTAACAGGGGGCGCCCTGCTATGCATTACTCAAAACCAAGCATGCCTGAAAACATCTTAAACAACTGAATGAAGAGCTGCCCAATCACAGGCCAGCGGCTTGCAAACTCCACCCTTGAGTACAGGAAGAACACTTTTGATTGGAAGAAGGTTGTGTTTACTACGGTGTGGTGCAAATTGGAAAGGCCCACATGTCTAGGGCCCAAAGGAAAGCTCTTTAATGAAAAAGGAAAACAAACGGCCAATTCTGACCCTACATTAGTCATTGTCAATAGCAGAACCTCATCATAGCAACAGCAATTCTTGAGCAATTTTGCAAACTGGTGAAAATTCCTGAAGACCATTTTTGTTGGTTGTTTTCTCATCTATGTCCCTTGCTATTCATACAAACACAGTGTATTCTCAAAACCCAAACCTGCCTTTGCTTCTAATGCATACAGCTCCATGCAAGACCTCAATATCTGAGAATCATTGCAACTTTTACTTGGTGTGAGAAACAAATTCCATGGGCCCAGCAGGAAAATGATTCAGTATTTAGCTTAGAGGTGTCCAGCATCTCAGTGCGCTCCTAAAACGTCTGTCCTTAGGGAGCTCAGTGAACAATAACCTGCATGGGTAGCCATTTCAGGTGCAGAGCTCATTAGCAATTCATGAAATGGAGGAAACAACTAGAATATAAAATTCAGAATGAAAACCTAGGCCTGTGGTCAAAGTGTGCATATAATGGAAGATCTTAAGTATTTTTTACATTCAAGGGGGCAAATTACTGGATCTCACAGGGACACCCCACTCACTCCCTCTCCATCTCAACCTAGAAAGCAGCAATCTTTTAAAGAAAGCATAGAGGAATTTAAATGCAAATCTCCTTAATCCTCCTCACACCCTTATATTCCAGACATCCTTTTACAAATTTGCCCCAAGGAAGCCTCACAAATACCCTCAAGCAGCCTTTTCTAGTGTAGCGTGGAGAAAGATAAAAGCAAATACACTCAAGGAGCAGAAGCAAAGCCTAAGCCGGTCACCAGTCAAGCAACCGATAAAGCCTGTATACCGGGATTGGGAGGTGTCACATCACTGATCAATAGAAAAATGAGTAACAGAAACCTACAACATTACTATTAAATCTCCTCCAACGCGTCCGCGTTTATAGCGAACACAAGTTCACCCCGAAAACGTACCTTCTGCCTACTGACCCATTCCATTTCAAAAGAACCCTGCTATTTTCTCATAGCCTTATTTCAAAAGAGAAGCTAGGGCTGCTATAAAAAAAAAAAAAAAATGAGGAACTCAGAGGCTTGCCAAAGCTCAGAGACTGAATTTTTTTTTTTACCGCCTCATTAACAAAAAACAGCACGTCATGTTCCCGAATGCTGGTGAAGTTCTATTACTGAACAACTTTTAATCACGAAATAACGCCAAGGCAAAGGACTCAAAAAAAAAAAAAAAAAAAAAGCGGTCAAGCCCCAACACAAAGTTTCAAAACAAAACCTCTCCCAAGGTTCGGAGAGAGGAGCAGCCGAGCGGAGAGCAGCACAGGCAGGTCTCCATCGCAGCAACAATCTGCAGCTCCTGTCACCAGGAGGGCGAGGAGAGCCGAGCCCCGGGTCCCGGGAGCCGGCGGGCAGGAGCCCGCGGGCCGAGCCCGGCTCGGACGAGGAGGAAGTGGCCGCCAGAGATAAAAACGCCCGGAGGAGCGGCTCCCCCGACGGCCCGGGGCTGCTCCGGCCGCCCACGCTCCCGCCCCGCTCGGGCTCCCGGAGGGGAGCGGGGAGCAGGTCGGGCAGCGCCGCGGATCGCAGCTCCGCTCGGCCAGGGGCGGCGGCGGCCACACCGGCCGGACTCGGAGGGGCCGGGAGCCCGGGTTCTGGAGCCTCTGCCCGGAGGCGTGGGGGGGAGAGCGGGCCGGAGAAGGGGCGCTCAGGAGGCGGGGCCTGCGGCTGGAGGCAGCAGCTTCGGTGCCCTGGCCGCCCCCCACCCCCACCCCCGGGAAACCGGGGCGCGCACCCCGACGCGGAAGCCATGCTGGTCAGAACTCGGGGTGCTGAGAGGAGCCGGTGGGGGGCGCTAAGGAGATTTGGGGGGGGGGCGCGGAACTGGGTCACCCCCCACCCCACCGCCCCCTCACAATGGCCCCCGGGGAGGCCGCCCCGCAGGCCCCGCAGCCCCGGCCTCGAGTGCCCGCCGCGGCCGTCACTCACCGCCAAGTCCTGGGGCACCGCCCCGCTCATGGCCCGCACCGTGCCGGCCCGCCAGGCCCGAGTGCGCAGCGCAGGCCCGGGATCTCCGCCCGCCGCCGCCGCCGGCACCGAGGCCGAAGCCGAGGCCGTGGTGTCCGCGAACAGAAGCAGCAGCCGCTTGCCCACCGGGGAGGCCGCCGCGTCCGCCATCGCCAGGGCCGGCCAGACCCTCGCTCCCGCCCGCCGCCTCCCACCACCTTCGCCGCCGAGCGCCCGATCCGCCCGCAAGGCCTCCCTCCGCACCACCCGCGGCCGCGGCTTCCCCCCCACCCCCCCAACAGCTACCACCAACCACCGGCGCCGCGCAGCGCCCCCGGTGGCCGGGAGCGGAGCCGCAGCCTGGGCGCCGCACAGCGCCCCCCGCGCACCGGAGCGGGGTGGCAGCTCCGGGCCCCTCGCAGCGCTCCGCCCCAACCTCCCCAGGGCCTGCAGTGCCCCCTGCGTCGAGGAGGGGAATTGCAGTTTCGGCGGGGGTGGGGAACTGGGCGGGTCCTTCAGTCCCCCAGGGCACCATCAGGGTCCCAACCTTATTTCAGGGGGTCCCCTATCTTAGAAGGCTTTAGCTTACCCTCCTCGCAAAGACTTTTACTGGAGTGGGGAGCTGAGGGGCAAGGGACCTAGAGAATGAATGTTTTGAGCTGAGAAGTTAACACCCCAATACCTATTGATTTCCTATCCTGAACATGCCCTACCCCAGTGGTCGGCAAACTCAGTCAACAGAGCCGCAAAGCAAGGCTCGCGAGCCCCCATTGTCTTTTAGGAAACTTTCTCGCCATTGGTCCATCAGTATCTTTCTTCTCATTGGCCCATAACATTGTTATCATCCCATGACTTCATAGGTTCCTTTCCAATTGACCAATGTGTTACATCCATTGGATATGATACTGCCACTCTTGCCACTGGCTGAAGGCCAATAAGCTTCCATCTTGATATCCTGACTTAACCCATAGAGCTTTTCCCCTTCTAAGTCAATAATGGAGTCTTTCCTACTTTATTATTCCACTAATAACGATGTTATTAAGTCCAGGTGTTTCTCAACTCATCTTTCAGGGCAGTGGTAGGCAAGCTCATTAGTCAACAGAGCCAAGTATCAACAGTACAACTGAAATTTCTTTTGAGAGCCCAATTTCTTTAACTTAAACTATATAGGTAGGTACATTGTTATTAATTAGGGTAAGTGGTATTTTGTGGAAGAGCCACACTCAAGGGGCCAAAGAGCCGCATGTGGCTCGAGGACCGCCATTTGCCGACTAATGTTTTAGGGGAATTGGATAGGAACCAATGATGGGGATTCTTTTTTTCTGGCTTAGTAATAGTACCATCTTACCATGGTAGTGGGGCTGGGGACAAAGAAAACCCCACTCCCCCAATCTGAATTCACATTAAGTGTGGGAAATTTATAGCTGCTGTTAGAAAGGGGATGTAGTGGAGAGATACTGAATATTTTGCTTAGGTTGTTTTCACTCCAGGCAATGGGAAACTTCAATCGTTAACGTTGGTAATGTCAGAGACTAGCACAGATTCCATGTTATTATGGATGCAGAAACTGAGTATACAGACAAGATACAGGGTCTAGTACTAATTCATGATTGTTACCCTAAAAGTAGCTTTTCTTTCACAGATCTGCCCTACAGACAGGAAAGGGCAGTAGCAGGTTTTCACCAAAACTAATGTGCCTACCCAGTAATCTGCCCATAACCTTGTCTTTACCCTTGACCTACTTTACTTATAGCAAAAATTGGGGGCAGGGATGGGGAGTGGGCACCAACGATTGACTTTAGTAAAAGTACAAAACATCTAGGGAAGTGAATCTAAAATTAACCTTGTGGAGCACCAAGGAAATATTTCTTTGGATTTTTTTCTTTCCTTATTCCTTGTAACTTCCTTTTCCTATTGCCAAGCTGGGACCTAAGAATGCTTTCCTTGGCCAAGAGACACCTCTTAAAGCACAGGGTGCACAAGTTGTTAAGAAAGAACAAGCGTGAATCCATACAGGATCTAGCTTGCAGCTTTTCTAGAAAAATTTACCCCTAGAATTTTCTCCCATGAGCAGTTCTATTTACTACCCCAGTGTTCACAGAACAGAAACAGACATGTGCCTAAGCTCTGGGATAGAAAGGCAAAGGTGGGTAATCCATTCAACAAACGTGGCAAACACTTTTCATGTGCCAGTAACTTTTTAGAGTGTTGGGGACACAACACTAAATAAAACAAAACCCTTGCCCTCAGGGAGTTTACACTTTCCTACATTATTAGGACTGGTAAATGCAATCACATTTGGCATCACAGTCAATAAACAGTAGAAAAACCCAACAGAAAAATTGAACAAAAAGGAAAATAGTTGGGAAGATTCATTTTAGATGTTTAAACTTTAACCCTGCTCCAACAGCCATTTTGAGTAAAGGAAAAAACCTATAAAGCTGAGCTTCTTTAACTACATTCCATTGCCCCATCCCTTCTCAGCCCCTCCCTTTATCTCCAGGGCAGTAAGAGTACTATCTTTTTAGAATGTACTTTCATCCCCTCAAAGGTTCCTGCTCCAGGTAGTCAAGCCAATACTGTCCTTCTGCACACTTCATTGGTATTCAATAATGAGGGCCACTAATTTGAAGCAGGAAACTGGGACGGAGGCTAAGCAACTTGACTCTTCTTGTTGCCGGCAAGTCAACACCAAACTGGTAAAGAAAGGGCATGCCTTAGGAACAGAGGCTCCTGCCTGGATCTCTAAGCAGCTATACTTCACCCACTCGAATTGGAAGAATGCTAACAGAGGAAAGAAGAAAGGGTGGAACAGAAAGATCTAAAGAAAGAGTGAAGCACACAGCTTCTTTCTGAAAACGAACGTTCAATTGAGGCATTGGGGGAAATAACACCTTCTAGGGCAAAAGAGAAGTTCTGCTGGTAGGATAATTTTACAAAAGCAGTTATTTTTAAGATGCAGACGTTATCTAAGTCTTGGAAATCTGAATTCTGACGACTAAATCGCAATTTCTCCATCTTTTTAAAAAGATTCCAGGTCAAGTCTCCCGTCATGACTTCTCCCCACTTCCCAAAGCCTACAAACCAGTCTAGACAAGTCCCTGCCTATTCCATAAGCTAGAATGTATTAACAGTTCACTTCAATCTCTTAGAAGTGAGAGTGATAGTTGAGAAGAGACAGAGACTAAATCAAGACTGCCAGAAACAACCCAGGCCTTAACAGAAACCCAGGCCATAGGAAATGATTGCTGTGGCCACACGGGACCTACAGACCAGATACTGCCCTGGAAGGGCAAAGGCCCAGCCATGCCGTAGGAAGGGGCTGGAAGAGTTAGGTGGCCTTCTCCCTGCTTCCTCTTTTCCTTTCTTTGTGGTGATGGGAAGAAGACACTGTAATACACAAGGTTGCTTGGGAAAATGGATTATTCTAATAAAACTTTATTTTTTCAAACACGGCCACAGAGGCAGGACCTCATGTTTAACACACACACAGACTTATGGATTTTTTTTTAATATAAAACAAAATTTACGAAATTTTTTTTTCCACTTTTTGTATTTGTAATCCCATTAGCACAGGGACTTTGGCAGCAGGTGGGAGTGAAGGGCAGCTAAAGCTGCCACTGGGCAGTCACCGGGCACAGGAGGAGAGCACCAGCCTGGGAGTGGCTTCACTCACACACGCAGGAATACTCACCTACTGGTCAGCCACACCACACACACAACACAGATGCAGATGTCTACCCAGCGCCAACCACAGCCCCGTAGAGATGCGCTCCACTCTGGGTAAGCCCAATATGTGAAAATCCAAATAGTCAAACAGCTAAAGTAGAGGGAGGTTGCTTGCTTGCTTTACAAAAGCAGCAATCACAGGCTGCTTTTAAATGGTCAGCAGTCCAAATGCATCAAAGGTCAGAGGGTGAGGGGAAAAAGGTCCCATCAGTAAAGAGGGAAAGAAAGAGATGAAGCCCTTCAACCCTGCCTCAGTTACCCACATGTGCTTGCATCTACTTAGAGTGAGAGAGGCAGGTGGTATACAGCCTAGGCAATCTGATAAGAAGAAAAGGCCAGCTCAGAATCAATGTGAAAAGCCCTCTCCAGCCCCAATACTAACTCTATCTAGGGGACGGGGGGGTGGGCCTGAGGAAAAGATCATTGGCTGAGGTCACAGCACTTAAAAGAGCCTGCAGTACCCCCAAACAGAATCCTTTGCAGAGCCAGTGGTGCTTATGGATTATAAGCCTGGTTCCAGAGCTACTTAGAAAAAAGAAAAACTTGGTGCCCTCCTTCCGACTTCTTGAACAAGCCCACTGTCCCACGGAAACGTGAGATCCTGGGGCATCATGGTGCTCTGCTATTAAGGAGCAACTGCTTTCCTTCCCTAAGGCTACGCACACACACCTTTCCACCTTTCCTCACGTACACTCCCAAGCACACACACACACTCGCACACAATTTCTCCGAGGAGGCTGAATGACCCCCCCACCCTGGCCAAATTCTAAGACACAAGTGCCCTTTGAAGCAAAGGGGCTAGTGAAATTCCCCGAGCTGGGGTCAGCAGACCCCTTCCTTCCCTGCCCAGTGCTTTCTCATCGGCAGGGATACTCACACTCAGGGCCGCCATGGGAAGGGTCTGCTCTGGGCTGTCCCTCCCGCCACCAGCTCTGTTTATCTTGTCCCGGCCAGTGTCTCGGCATGGTCGAGCTTCCTGGAGCGAGATTTCCGGCTGGCCTGAACGGGAGCCCTCCACTCATCCCCATTCCCAGGCTGGGCCCCTAGTCTTGGAGCCTCGACACTTGTTAGTAGCCATAAGAGAGTCAGTCTGTGTGGCCCCAGGAAGCAGTAGCCTCTCAGTTTTAGTTCTCCTCAATCAGGTTTAAGTCCAGGTCCCCAAAGTCCTGCTGGCACAGTGTCCGCTTACTCAGCGCCTGGCGCCCCCACCGCACAGACCCCTCCTCCTCCTCTTCGCTTTCACTCAGCACCTGGGAGGCACCCGCAACGGGGCTGCAGGAAGCAGAGAGGGGTGGGGGGCTACAGGCCATGAACCACGGTGGAGAGATGCTGCTGCCTTCCCGGGCTGTTTCTTGGAGACAGGCACCTCCTGAGTATGGTTTCTGTCAAATAAACAACAAAGTTAAGAAGGCAAAGGAAGAGAATAACATCCCAGAGCACCCTGGCCCAAGCTGTATTTCAAAGTGTCCTGTCTCTTAGTTACTCTCTAAGGCAGGAATCCTAGGCTTTAGGGTGAGGTTTATGAACTCACTGATAAAATTTGGAAAATTCAGTGACCATGTAACATTTCTTTGAGGAGAGATCTCAGTTTCCATCAGGAGATTAAAGAATCATTTATGGGCAGAAATATCATGTCTATTTCACTACTGTAATGCCAGGGCCTACACTGTCAAGACCAGGTACATAGTAGGTATCAAAAAAAAAACCAAAAAAAAAAAAACCCTGCTAACTGGTTAGATGGATGACTGTCAATAAGAATGTAAGTTTGCAAAGAGGTTTGTGACCCAGTGGTATAGCTGGAGTATGAAAAAGTGGGCAAGTGTTTAAGACAACTGCACTCATACTGGGAGGTCAGAAACATATGCTGAACAGATGAACGTTGCAGCAGCCTGTTTTTAGCTCTCCCAGACCCAAAGCAGTGAAGGGCAAGTAGCAAAACCATCCTTGAGCACAAGGAGGGGTGGGGCAACGATGACGGCACTCTGTGGCTTGTGCATTCTAGGAATGGAGGGAAAGTGCCTCCAGCAAAACAATCTGGGAATCCCTACTGGCACGTTTAACCTGGCTCTCACCCGTTTCTCTGGAACCCCCAGGACATGGCACTTCAGGATTCAGTGCTAAAACGGACAGTGCTGGGCAAACTGGGAAGGTAGGTCCCTCCAGTGAAAGCTCAGATATAAAGGAACTCCAGGGGAGGCCCTGCCAGGAAGGCATGGGACTAGGGCAGCTTAAAAGTGAAAGAGAACACAGTCCCTCTGCTCCCATCCAACCATTCTAGCTTCCTTAATCCGGCTGGTCCCACCTGATTCATCTTGTCAAAGTCCAAGGAAGGCCTCAGCCGCCGGGGGTCCTCCTCGTGGCGCCGCTTCACTCCAGCTTTTCGGGCATCCAGATCACAAGGCTGTGAGCGGCTTCGAGGAAGGCTGCGGGGGCCTCGGGGTCGCCAGGGCAGCTCTGGGGAGGATGCGGGGGAGCTCCGGGCAGAGGGCAAGAAGCGGCTTGCCTGTGGGCCCAGGCTGGGTGACAGGGAAAAGCGGCGTTGGGGTGGGCAAGGGGATAGGGATTCGGCATCACTTTCCCAGGAGCCATTTTGGGGGGAGGCAGCACAGGGTTGAGAGGAATCTTGGGTCAGGGCCAGGCTGAAGAAAGGTGGACTGCTGGGTCTGTGGGCTGGGGCACACTGAGAAGAGGCACTGGGAGCTTGGAGGAACCTGAGGCTGGAGACCCGCTTTGGAGGGCTCTGGTGAGGCACCTGCGGCCCACCCCCTCCACCACTGCCTCGGTGCTTGATGGGAGTCCACAGCTTGGAGGGGGCAGGCCGCCACACTGGCTGCCAGCGAGACAGGTCCACGGGCACCGAGAGCGAGCGGCAGTGCCTCTTGGGTGGAGGGGTGGGGGGCACAGGAAGCTTCTCTGGATCGGGGGGCTCAGGGCTTAGAACTTGGGAGAGGGGCTGCTCCGGTGGGGAGCTTCCCCGGCTGGGTGGTCTGAGGTGCAGGCTCAGGCCTGACGGGTGGTAGCTGAGGTTGAGGCCGTCCTGAAACTCGGCACAGGAACAGTGGGGCAAGCCCCTCCAGGAAGCACCTTCTGGAAGGCATTCATCATAAAAATGATATTAATGATAGCCAATATATTTTTAAGAGCTTACTATGTCCCCATAATGTAATCAACATTTTCTGTGGTTTCCAAAAAAAACCTATTATTATGCCCATTTCACAGATAAGAGAAGTCCAGTAACTTGCCCAAAGTCATGTAGCAATCAAATGACCAAAACAGGATTCAAACCCTGGTCTGTCTAAGATTAGGTCTTTTAACAGCTATGCTGTTCTGCCTCCATTATGACAAAACACATGAAATTGGAAATACACTCTCATACAGCGCCTTGCCACTCCCTCTCAAAGGTAAAACAATGGAAATGTTGTGTCAGTGTGCCCTGCTCATCCCTCACTCCACTCAACCTACTGCCCAGCTGGCCTATCCTCTCCTTCCTTAGCCTTTCCCCTTTCCAAGTCTCAGCAGCACCAAAATAGGAGTTAGGGTTGCCAAGGAGTAAGAGGTAAGCAAACAGGTAAGAAATCACTTTTATTGCTAGGGAGGGCAAACAAGATGCAAAAGGCCTTTGGTAGTGGAACCATGCTTGGGAAACCCTAAGACTTTATGCAGCTGGTGTGCCTGCGTCTGGTCACCCAAATACGTTGACTCCTTTCCCACAGACCTGCTCTGAAATCCAAACAGATTGGGGGACTGAGGTGTGGAAGAGAAAATGGACTAAAATGAATGGTCCTCACTGAATTCTAACCAAAACTCTATGACTTCTGGAGGCAGCTCATTAAAAGACAAAGAGCCGACATCTTTTATGTTGTAGGTAACAGACAGTTAAGAATGTTACAGCATATAGAGCTAGTATGTGGGGAAACAAGACAACTGGGAAGGATTCTATGGACTCTGCTCTGGTGCAGTGGTTGTGCCCGGAGGAGTCTGGGGGGGAAATGGTTACCTTGACATTCCAAAGATATGTGATGGTAGGTGCAACAAGACAACAAACAAAAACAAATAAAAAGACAAACACTAAAAAAGATATATATATATATATATATATATCTTACTCCAAACTCCTCTGGCTAGCTGACTGCATCCTGCAGAAGCTAGATATTTGGAACTGATAAGTATAGAAGTCATAATGATCATTGAGAAAACCCACACTTAACATTTTTAGTCAACAGTTCTGCCCCCTACTAACCTCCCTGAGGGCAGGGACCATATCTCCTATTCTGCACTTGGAACATAATACCTGGCTCACAGCAAGCATTTAATAAATCAGAGAAAGAAATTAAATGAAGATGCTTTTGCCAACTTACTTCCCTTGCCCAGGTATACTAGAAAAGAAAAAGAAAAAAAAGGTGCACAGCAGCCTAGCATCATGGGTTAAAGTTCTGATTGTACAATAGTGATGCCTGCCCCCATGATCACAGACCCTTTGATGGAATAATTTATAATTTTTACCTCAGATACACATTCACCTGTGTAAAATGACAGACATATGTACCATGCTATTCATTATGGTTTTGTCTGGAAATAACCTAATCCACATTAATAAGAGACTGGTTAAATAAACTATGGTACACTCCTACAGTGCAATAATGTAAAACAAGGAAATGTTCAACATTACTAATGATATATGAAACAGAGACAAGTGCTCATCTCAGAAGGTGACCCTGACAAGAATGTTGTGGAGGTAGACTATCTAGTCCTGGTCAATGGAAACCAAAGTAATATGTGGACGGAACCATGGACATACACACATCTATGCAAATACACAATATCTTACCAGGCACAAGCTGGAAAGGGTTCCCACAGTTGGAGATGTCTGCATGATCAGGCAAAGGCTAAGAGAGAGACAATATCCATCATGATTCAGGTTCAGGACACAGATTTCCAAGCCCTGTTCAGCTCACCCCTGCAATTCCTGGGCTAGAGGGATGTTAGGGACTCTTTTTAAAAAAAATATGTCTTTATTGATTTCTGAGAAGAAGGGAAAGGGATAGAAACATCAACGATGAGAATCCATCATTGACTGTCTGCCTCTTGCACGCCCCACACTGGGAATCAAGCCTGCATCACAGGCATATGCCTTTGACCGGAATCGAACCTAGGACCCATCAATCCCCAGGCCGACACTCTATCCACTGAGCTAAGCCAGTCAGGACTGGGGACTCTTTAAGTGTTCTCTTCTTTCTTCCCAAAGTTAGTAAAATAATGCACAACTTCCAATATTTCAAACCCTTCTCCACCCAAGTTTTACTGTTCCTTCTCTATCAATGGAAAAATTCCTGCTTTCTTCCTTTTGGGATGGTTTTCTAGAGCTTTTAGTGGACTCTTCCAGGAGAAGTACCATGACTCATAAGGCATAGGACAAGGGTGAAGTAGTAGCAACAAACAGCCTCTGTAAAAAGGGGGCAGGGGTCGTGGAGAAGCAGGAAGACTGGGCTTTTACCAGACTGATGCTGAAGCGTGTGCATTTCAGCTCATCCAGAGTCTGTTTCTGTAGCTGCTCGGTGATCAGGGTTATCATGATTCTCCCCGGGATCTGACTTGAACACTTTGGAGCAAATGATGGATATCTTCCCTGTTGTTCTTCCAGACCTCACTCGTGAGCTGTCTTCTGCCACTGCAGCACCATTCTAGCACCATGGGGACTTCCCTCTCCAGTCATGCCTGCTGAGTCTGCCAATTACAGAGGGACCGGCCCCAAGTGATATTAGAGATATACCTGGTCTGGAGATGGAAAATGCATGGCACACATACCACAGCATCCCTATGCCAGGCCTCTGGCAGACATCATTAATTGATCACAGCTTTTTTCCTGGTAAGCCTAAACATAGCCTCAGACACATTATAAGCTTGGCAGTCCAGATACCTAGTAAAATGAACTGGAGTTGGCAAGCAAATTGAAACCCATTTGCCACTCCTAACCTGGTTCATGCTCTGCTGTCTACCCAGAATACAAGCACCACTTAGGAAACAGCTAAGGTGAGAAAGAGGAATGACCAAATGGTTATTTCCATCCTGATTAGCCCAATATTTTATTTATCAGAAGCAGAGAGGTACCCTTTACCTAGACTACAGAAATAATAATAGGGAGCATAACAGCAGTGGCTGGAATGATTTTCTGCTTCAGACAAGAGTCAATGAGGTTTGTAGTTCTCCCTTAGCCTGACCGGCTGATGTAATTTTCCAACAGATACTGTATATATTCTCTTATAAAATGAAAAGATAAGGAAATGGTACCAGAGTACTCTGTGACTATATTCAACTAAGTTTTTAGCCTGTTCTGACTCAAAAACCATTAATACAATTAATCAGGATTCTTTCTCAGGTCAATTTGGTAAAAACAAACCAATTCTATCAGATAACAGGCTTTAAGCCCACATAATTACCTGAGGGGTCTTACTCCAGGGAGGAGGGGAGGTTAACCTAGTGTCTTCATACTATTCTGCCTATTCCCAGAAGTGACTAGCAGGCTGACTGCTCACCAGAGGGTATCTGTAGCATTTGCTAAGTAAAGTGAATAAACTATCTAGAAATCTCAATCCTGACCCTATTTGCTGTGGCAATTTTGGCAAATCACTTAACCTTAGCCTCAATTTACCCATGTAAAACAGGCCAAATAATCTTAACCTGTCGCATACAACATAATAGACAACACCAAAATGCAAGAAGCATACCATCTGGCCTGTACAAACCAGGAGTCCACATAGGCTGTTTCTCATCCCTCTGGGTTGTTGCTCTACAAAGCCTCAGGCTGCCACAGTGGTGATAACATTAAGAGGAAGGCAACCAGATTTATCTCTTTGATTAGATGCCAACCTCAATCACCTCAATGACACCCAAAGGGGCTCTTTTCTGTGACCTTGGGGACAAGATCGCTTTCTACTTTTACAAAAAAAGAAGGGATCACCTCTACCCCATTCCTTCCTCAGAGGGAGGCATACCACAAGGAAAAGCAAAGAAACACACGTGGACCTACTTGGGAGCTTTTTGGAAGAAAGGTGTGGGAATAGTCAATTATCAGTGCAGTTAACTATCATTTTCATGCATATTACAACCCTGAATGCAGTTCCAGCTTCTTGAGAGCTCTCTTCAGCTACTTCCCCTACTATGTTCTTGTGGGAGAAGCTAAAGCTTCTATCACTTCTGCTCTTGGTTTCTTAACTCTGCCCTCAAAGATCAACCAGAGAGGAAATCTCACTGCAGGCGTTTACCCCAGAGACCCTGGGCTTCAGGCTGACACCAGGCTGACCAGCCATGAGGAGCAGCGTGTGAAGCAAAACTCTTTCAAGCTTTTCATGAGGCATTTGGCCAAACAGCAAACTCCCAGTCCTCTCTGGGATCAAGTGAAGAGAGTGATTTCGTGGTGGGTTTTTTTTTTTTCTTCTTTTTTTTCCTTCTGCGTTTTAATTGTTGGGATGTGGCCACACACGGCGGTAATTGGAACAATGCAACTACCACCACGCAACTGATACTCTCAGCCCGAGTTTCCTAAAACAGGCCAGGCTGAGAGGGGGAACAGAACGGAAGCCATAAGGAATCAAACCAGGACACAAAAGAAGGCAAACCAGCTCCGCGAGGGGCCTCCTCCGTCTCGGGCAGACGAAGGAAAAAAACTGTAAGAAGCCCTCTCTTGCCGCCTTCCTTTCCCTTCCATTTTGTATTATCTGAGGGGCAGAGACTACCCTGAACGTTCACCAAACAAGTTAAAACTTCTCAGCTTAGCTGGCACGGGGCTCAGCCCTGCAAGGAGCAGCAGGCCGCTAGGCCCTCCCCACAATCCCACCAGGCCCAACTCGACCCAGGCTTTCCCTCCACCATCGGCCCCCAAAAATAAAGCTTGGACCCTCACCCCCACCTCCCATTGGATGGCAGTGACCCCTGACACTCGGGTTCCAGGGATGCTGAGGTTGTGCCTGGAGAACCTAGCATCCAGTCAGGTTAATGGGGAGGAGAAGTCACCAATCCTCTGGGGACCTTCCCTCAGGTCCCAGCCCCAAACCTCTTGGGGAGACTGAAGGAAAACAGGAGGAAGCAGGGAGGTGCAGGAACAGGTAAGTGGGGGTCTGAGGGCTCTTCCCCCGTGTGGCTCCGGTGGAGAGAAGGGTGACAAGTGGGGCGAACCCCTCCCCCTCTGCCCCCTCTTCCCCCCGATGAAGAAGCAAGAGGCTAGGCCCCCCTCCAATTTTCAACCTCCCCCTCGCTGCCCTGCCTGTCCCCGCGGGGTGGGGCATAGGTCGTCCGCGGGCCCCTGTGGAGGCGCCATGGCTCGCTCTGGAGGGGGCTTGTCGCTCCTCTCTTCCCAATTAGCTCCCATCGTCGGGCCGCGGAGGCGAACTCGGGACGCAGGGGATGGAAAGGGTCCGGGACTCAGCGCTCCGCCACCCCTCCCCCACCGGGTCCCGTGCTCTCCCCGCGGAGGCGGCCGGCGAGGCCCTGCCGCGCGGGCGGCCGGGCTGGGGGAAGGGAGAGAGGGGAAGAGGGAGGGCCGGCCGGGGAGCCCGCCCCGAGGCCCGGGCGCCACCTGCCCTCCTCCGCCACCTACCGCGGCGCCTCCGGCTCCCAGGGCCGCGCCGGAGCAGCTCTGAGCGCTCCGTTCACCCCACGGTGTCCTTAAAAGGCGCCAGCGCGAACCAACGGGCCTCCCGGGCGGGCGGGGGCGCCTCTCCCGCCCACCGAGCGCCCCCGAGCGGTCCGCGGGGGCTCGGGACTCGCGTCGCTTCTCTCTCCGAGTCTTTCTTAGGCGGTGCCGTCAGGAAGGAGGCCGGTTCTTTGATTTAAGGATGAGGGCGGTTTCCTCCCGATGGAGTCACCCCCCTCCAGAATCCTGCAGCAGGTGGACCGGCCCAGTTGGAAGCACCTCTCGAAAGCCGCGGGGGAGGCCGCGTCAGGCGAAGGTAAACAAAGCTACCGCCCCCGCCCTCCGTGTCCACCTCGGGCCAAGGACAGCCTTCTCATCGGCTCGGGCCGCTTAATAAGAATTAGCCAAGGCCCCTCTCACCTGTTCTTCTCTCCCACCTCCTACCGCCGCCTCTCTGAAGGAATTCCATCCCCCCCAGCAGAGGACCCGTCCGCGGCGCGAAGGCTTCTGGGAAGTGTAGTCCAAGCGCCGATTAGGGCCTGCTCTAAGTCCCAGGAGCCCCCCTTCCAGCGGCCAGATCGACTCGAACCGTGTAAATCCAGGACTTTACTGCAGTTGGGGGCTGTTCCCGTTTGGTTCTGTGATGAGCCCTCACCCAAAAACTTTATAAAAGCTGAGGAGGGCCCAGGGCCGATCACTCCTTTTCCACCCTCTAACGCACCGCCCCCCCCCCTCAACAGGATGAGGTAATGGGATTGTGATTATGACATCATAGGCGGCTCAGTAACCCGCGTGGGAGGGGGGTGGTGGCAGAAAGGTGGGGGGCTACGGTAGTTCCACCTGGACCACTTTCCTTAAGACTGGGAAGGAGGAAAAAGGCAGATGGGGAAAAGATGGTGATGGTGCTAAATAGTTCCTCTTCAGGTAGAGTTAAACCACCTTTTATTAAACCACCACCACTGCCACCACAGCCAAAGTTTAAGTCCTTTTTGAAGACAATGTAGACGGTAGTAGATGAAGAGGTTGGGGAATAGGAAGATGGTTTCTGGTTCTTATGTAAATTTTGAGTCTCATCAGTCAAAGAAGGTTTTAGAGAGAGACAGGGAAAAGATGGAAAAGGAGTGGTTTTAAACAATGTCTTTGTGTTGTGATCTCTTTGTAGGACAGAATTTTAGATTTCTTTTGTAATCGATGGGAAAGTAACAGTCGTGCAATTAAATCCTCACTACTACATTTAGCAACAGGTCCCCTGAAAGGTGTCTTTTCCCTAAATAATGTGTACTTCACTCAAATCTGGGACAGATAACTAGCTGTGATCAGTTAGAAAGCAGAACCAGTGGTGGGATCTTCTCAGCGCCTGGGAAGGGAGGAGTCAGAGCCACCTAGTCTGCAAACTGAAAAAGAAGAGGAAAAGTTAGGTACTTAGTAAGAAAATGGGGTCAAGGGAAGATACACCTCACGTTTCCTTTGCCCTGCCCATTTCCCCCTGGCAAAAGAACTGGCAGAGGCCTGAAGTTACAGGAGATAGGGTTTCCAATAATTAGTGTTGTGGCACACTTATGTGCCAGGCACCATACTACATACTTTAAATATGTATTCTCATTTTTGCTTACAATCATCAAGTGGAAAAACATCTTATCTGACCTGAAATGGCTGGAGAGGTTAAGGGACTTCCCATGTGGTAGACAAAAGTGGTATTTTAAAAAGCAGTCTGAGGCTCTAAAGCCCTTGATTTTCACCACTAGATATCATTAGCCATTTTTATCATTAGCCATATTTACTAAAGTTAAATGATTGAATATTTAGTTAACATTGTATATTTAGTTAACATAAATTTAGTTAACATTGGCTCGTTTGAAAAACATTGAGAGTTAAAAAATAACAAATCCTGCAAGTTAGATTTCAAGCTTCACTTTAAAAGATTACACCTCTTTCATCAAGTATAAAATAGCCCCCCAATGCAGCCCATTACAAACTATAATTAAATATCCTTATGCCACTTTTAGTTCTCATGTTTGTTTGTTTGTTTTTTACTCATGTCATTGTATTTTTTCTTGCTACCCCATTTTCCTTTTTTGTTCTTTGACTCTTAGCTTGAACCTCATCTTAATTGTGACCTCATAGACCAAACCCCATTCTCTGACCCTACTCTAGTGGGTTTCAGCAGAAGATACTACCTGGGCTCCCTGCAGATTCTCTTAGGGTTCCAGGGTCTGGAGCCAGTCATCCAGGAGGCCATCCAAAGGGGTGGAATCCATTGGTTCTAAGAGAGGAGTCTCCATTCCCTGCCTAGGAAGGCAGCAAAGTCAGAGGAGCATGCACCTCATTCCAACTCTCCCTTTTTAGCCAGTGAAAGTTAAATCTCTGCAAAATGGGATTTTTAATTTCTTCCTAGAGAATAGTGCACATACCCCTCAGTCCCCCGGCCCTGCAGAGGCTGGCTGGGGGGGTCCCAGGAATGCAGTGCTTTTCTCCATTGCCGGATCTGGGCATCCCAGGAGCGGCGGCTATACCTCCTGTTTTTGTTTGGAGTTTGAGGATGAAGTCCTGGCTGTCGTTGTGTCCTGGCAACAACAGTTATGCGTCAGACTGAGATCGAGGTGTAGGGGGCACGGCTCACTGCTTATCACGGTGAATCAGGAGACTTATTAGGGATTCTCTGAGAATTAGGTATGATCCATGCCCTCAGTCCAGAAAAAAATCTTCAAGTCAGATTAAACATCATACTTCCTAACTCCCCAATATTCTTTCTCCTGGGAAGGTTAAATTAGATATTCCAATTCTCTCAGAAGTCAAGATAGGGATAAAAGTCAGTATTTGGCATCCCTTTCAAACACACTCTATCTTTCATATAGTTAGTTGTATGTGTGCATGTAAACTTTCATGTAATTAGGTAAATACATTTCAGTTAGCCAAGTCAGCTGGCGGCTTGAGATAAAAATGAAAAGAAAAAAACTTCATAAGCAAACATGGATAGAGGGTTTTGTTTTTTTAAAGATAGGCTTTAAGAAGGTCTTCTGGACTAAGTATGACTTAACCTTGGGGCTAGGTTGCAGGAGAATTTGTTTTAGTAATACTTACGTTTGTGAGAGCACTCAGATTCTAGTATATTTCCAACACCTGACATTGAACTAAAGCCACTTGACTGAGACTCTTGTGACTACCCACAACTACACTCACTTGGGGACCTGCTGCAGAAAACACTGGTAACCAGGTGTGCGCTTGCCATAATCTATCTGCTTTTGCCGCCGTTGTAGGACAATTTCATCTGTTTCTACCTCCCACCTGCGGGGAAGTATATAGTGGCCACATGAAGTGTCATCATAATTATCAAAGCAGAAAACAACTCATCCCACGCTCCCCTAATCCCCAGTGTGATTTTCAAACTCACCTGGCCTGGCAGAGCTCTGTGCTGACTCCCACACTCACCATTTCTACTCTGCAGGGTAAAGACTCTTCACACTGCTCCTTTCTGGGGAAACAAATTCTACAAATGAAAAGGGTATTTTATGACAGTCCCCAACTGACTATACTGCACCTCTAAGCCACTACTATAACCAAGATGCTAACACTAGATAAAGGTGGTTTTTCAAAGATAAAAGTTGCATTTCTAATTTGTTTCCCGAAGTGTAGACTGCAAGCCATCTGTCTACATAGCACCCAGGGACCCTGATAACTCCTGGGCCCCATTCTAGACCTGTTGAATCATCATTTTAGGGGCCTGTATTTTAAATTGCTTCCAAGTTTATTTTTATTTTTTATTATGCAGAGAAGTAAAGAGAATACCATCATGTTTTGTTACTCAAAGTATGGTCCTTGTACCACCTGCATCAGCATCAGCTAGAACAGTGATCATCAAACTCATTAGTCAATAGAGCGCAATATCAACAGTACAATGATTGAAATTTCTTTTGAGAGCCAAATTTTTAAAACTTTTAAGCTTCTTCTAACGCCACTTCTTCAAAATCGACTCGCCCAGGCTGTGGTATTTTGTGGAAGAGCCACACTCAAGGTGCCAAAGAGCCGCATGTGGCTTGCGAGCGCAGTTTGCCGACCACGGGGCTAGAAGTAAAGAATCTTGGGCCTCAACCCAGACCTACTGAATCAGAATCTACATTTTAACAAGGTCCCCAGGTGATTTGTATACAGATTAAACTTTGAGAGCACTGATATAAGGGATCCCCAGTTACCCATCACCCAACACTCATGGCCAATTTTGTTTCATCCAGATCCACCACCACTCCCACATGAGTATTTAAAAACAAGTCCCCAGCCGAAACCGGTTTGGCTCAGTGGATAGAGTGTCGGCCTGGGGACTGAAAGGTCCCGGGTTCGATTCTGGTCAAGGGCATATACCTTGGTTGCGGGCACATCTCCAGGAGGGGGTGTACAAGAGGCAGCTAATCGATGATTCTCATCGATGTTTCTAACTCTCTATCCCTCTCTCTTCCTCTCTGTGAAAAATCAATAAAATATATTTAAAAACACACACACAAATAAAACAAGTCCCCAAAATTAAGAATAAATTCTTGCTGGGCGGGTAAGGCTCAGTGGTTGAGCATGGACCTGTGAAGCAAAAGTTCGTCTGTTGGATTCTGGGTCAGGCACATGCGCTGGTTGCAGGCTCAATTCCCAGTAGGGGGCGTGCTGTTTGTCATTGATGTTTCTTCCCCCGCTCCCTTCTCTCTAAAATCAATTTAAAAAAATATAAAATATATGTATATTAAAATCTCTCTCATCTTTGAGGTTTCTATCCTCCCTCTCTAAAATCAATAAAATATTTATTAAAAATTAGATTATTTTAATATCACCTAATTAATGTTCCAAGTTCCATAAGCAACCAAATTTTGAGATCTTTTGAATTGTGACAAGAATTATGCCAAGCCCTAACCGGTTTGGCTCAGTGGATAGAGCGTCGGCCTGCAGACTCAAGGGTCCAGGTTCGATTCCGGTCAAGGGCATGTACCTCGGTTGCAGGCACATTACCGAGTCGGGCGTGTGCAGGAGGCAGTTGATCGATGTTTCTAACTTTCTCTCCCTCTCCCTTCCTTTCTGTAAAAAATCAATAAAAATACAATTTCTTAAAAAGAATTATGCCAAGAACTAAATCAACTCCCCTGCTTTCCCTGAAAAGGAATTTCCTTTACTCACGTAATTTAGCGTCTTAAAGATGCTGCGGGCTAACCGGGAGATCTTACTAGGAAAGCTCTTGGGAGGGGCCAATGCCGCTTAGCATCAAATACACACACCTGCTTCGCCCCGGCACCTGCCACACTCGCGGCAAATGCTCCATCTCCAGCGGAAGGGTAGCAGGCTGAGAGGGGGAAAGTCCTTATAATATACGGGAAAGAAGCAAGGAAAAAGAAACGTCTAAAACACCTCCTTAGCCAAACTAATTCCTCCAAGTATTAAGGACTGGACATCACAAAGCGCTAGCGAGGTGCAATTTAAATCTCCCGGGGTCCGAGGGGCGGGGCGAAGGGAAATTTCAGGAAGGGCGAGGCGATTGGCTGCAGGTAAAGCCAATGGTACGCCAGACTCGTGCGGGGCGGGGCTTACTAAGCAGCTGCCGAAAGCTGGTGGGCCAATCGGCATCCTGCTCTGGTTGTGGGGCGGGGCAAATTGGGTTCCTACCAGCGCAAGCTCACGCCCCCCTGGGTGATGTACGAGCCAAATGATTGGCTGATAAGTTTCTGGGCGGGCGCGGGGATTGGCTGACGCAGCGTAGAGGCTTAGCGGGATAGGTTCTTGGGAAGGCGGAAGGTTTGAATGGTCCAGACCTGCGGCTGTTGTTCTGCTCCGCGGCTTCAACTTAGACCCTCGGAGGAGAGAAGCCGCAAAACCGCAAGTGAAATTGTAGTGTGGGTTAAGTTGCTTCTCCCCCCGATTTTCTTTAATTCTGCTCACGTCTTTGCTTGTGACTGATCCCCACCCACGTCTCTTTCTCCTGAAGGTAAATCTCATACTGAAGCTTGAGGTAAGACCGGAGCCTTCTCTTCCGGAACCAGAGCCCCACAAACGGGAATTCAGGGGACCCAAGGTATCGTCGCGAGTTAGAAGAACTGAGTTCCTTCGGGTCCGGAGTCACAAGCAGCAGTTCCAAACAAGTCAAAGCCTTCTTTTTATTTCCGCTTTAACGTCCTGGGGTAAGTTCGGGTCAGGCCGTTTCGGGCGAGTGCGGTTTGACCTTCAAGCCAAGTTGTGAGTCTTTGTTTGGAGATGCTCATCCTGCAGTACCGCTCCACTGGGCCACCGCTGGGCAGGGTGGATGAGGTTGTGAAAGCTGAACCATCTGGGATGTGCCTGTAGAGATGACGTTCTCCTCTCAACGAGGTTTTCTTTCTTTCTTAGTGCTCGGAGACTATGTCTGCTGAGCTCACTTCATCCACAAGAGAGGAAGGAAGTCCTGGCAGAGGACCCAGTTTTAGATCCCATCAGAGGAAGATATTAAACTTGCTCCTGGAGAGAGACACTTCCTTCACCATCTGTCCAGATCTCCCTGGAACTCCAGTGGACAAACTCTTCGGTGATTCTGGAAACCAAAGCGTTTTGTCTGGGTAAATCCACCTTTCACACCTTATCTACTTTTGTTTTTCTAAACAGTTCTGAGTTAAAAAAAAAAAAAAATTAAAAAATTAAAGATTATCCTGGCTCAAAGATCTGAGTTTAAGTCTTAGTCCCTGACTAACCATGTAACTCTACTGACTCTCAGACTTCTTTTTTATGACATAGAAATAATCTGTTCTTATCTTACTAGGATCTTATGAGAATCAACTGATGTGATGTCTTGGAAAAGTCTTTGAAACCTCTATTGCATTATATGAGTTGGTCACTTTATTAATAATAGTGTTATTGTACTTTAAATTTTGTCCATGCCATGCACTAATGTCTTAGTCAGCATAGTTGGAGAGGTATAGACTTGAGAAGTACTAGACACTCAAGAGAAATAAAATCGGTGTGCTCAGAGCAGAAGATGTGGGGTCAAGACTCATTTCAGCCAGTAAACTTTGGTTCTCAATTTAAAAAAATGTACTGTCTTAGTATGTTGGTGAGGAGAAAATTAGGTACAGATTATCGGAGTAGAGAAAATGGGGGAGATTTTCCTCATCCTAGTCTAAAATATCTCCAAAACCAGTTGCTTTGTTTGGACACTTTTTAAATTATGTCATAATCATTGAGAGGTGTTTGTTTGTTTGTTTGTTTGTTTGTTTTAAAGAAGTTTCATGTGAACGGGAGCAGAACAGGATGGGTGTTTTCTTTCCTTTTTAAAAAAATATATCTTTATTAATTTCAGAGAGTAAGGGAGAAGAAGAGAGAGATACATCAATAATGACAGAGAATCATTGACTGGCTGCCTGCATGATTGGGGGGGATTGAGCCCACTGTCCAGACATGTGCCCTGACCAGGAATCGAACTGTGACCTCCTGGTTCATGGGTCAATGCTCAGCCACTGAGCCACCCATGGTGTTTCAAATTGAGGATAAAATGATCTTTGCTTTTTAAGGATATTACATCCTAATGTGATTAATGATGTACTATTATGTCTCAACAGAGGAACCCCAAAACGTTGCCTTGATCTTTCGAATCTTAGCAGTGGGGAGATGTCTGCCACTCAGCTTACAGCTTCTGCAGACCTTGATGGAACTGGTGGAGAGAAGGAAGGTAAAGGCTTCAAGGGAAAAATAACTTAAGGGAGAGGTCAGGGTGGCAAGATAGACATGGAAGGTGGTAAAAGTAAACAGAGAGCCTTGAAGTTGGAATTCTATGGGTACCTGTAGGATTTATTTAAATATATATATTGATTTCAGAGAGGAAGAGAGAGGGAGAGAGAGAAACATCAGTGATGAAAGAGAATCATTGATTGGTTGCCTCCTGAACACCCCTTACTGGGGATCAAGCCCACAACCTGGGCATGTGCCCTTGACCAGACTTGAACCTGGGACCCTTGAGTCTGCAGGCTGATGCTACTATCCACTGAGCCAAATTAGCTAGGGCCCTGTAGGATTTTTTTAGGAGGATGATCAAGCCAATGGGAAGAGAAAAATAACATTAGTAGATGTCACATTGCATTTGAAAATTTTAGATAGGAAGGAGTATTTTGTTGACTGATTAATAATATAAATTGAAACTCACTGAATGATGGGAATGGAAATAACAATTAAGATGAGAAGTGGGAGAGGACAACAGGGGAAAAGGGGACAAATATAATACTTTCAACAATAAAGAATTAAAAAAAAAAGAGAGAAGTTTTATAACCTAGTCTAATATCAGCAGAGGCAAAGAAACCCACATAAATGAATACTTTGTCAGCGAATTCTTGCATTTTTATAGGGTCTGAGCCCTAAAGGAATGTGTTTTACTAGTCAGTCATTTTAGTATTTGTTGTAATTTCAGATTTCCTGAGTGATAAGCATTCTTTTCTATTCATGAAAAAAAAAATCTCTGTAGCTTATTGCATTATTTCCTAGCAGTTTGTCTTTCAATGACACATGTAAATTCTTAAGAATGTAATAACTTGCTGAAACCGATTTGGCTCAATGGATGGAGCGTCGGCCTGGGGACAGAAAGGTCCTGGGTTCGATTCTGGTCAAGGGCATATACCTTGGTTGTGGGAATATCCCCAGTAGGGGATGTGCAAGAGGCAGCTGATCGATGACTCTCTCTCATCGATGTTTCTATTATAACTCTCATCTCTCTGTAAAAATCTCCCTTCCTCTCTGTAAAAATCAATAAAATATATTTAAAAAAAGAATCTAATAACTTGTACCTTGTACCATGAAATTGGTACCTTAGCAAGAGCCTTTCTGTTTAGAGGTTAGCTTTGAAATTTATATGGCTTACTAGTAATAAAGAAAATCAGAAGGAAAGAGGATGCATGGATAAGAATAATTTCATATCTAATTGCAGGCCCTTTGGATTCCTCAGGACCTCAGGAAATACTGTTAACTTGGAGGTAAATTCTTTTGCTAAATAAACTTTCAGCGCTGGCACAGGGATTTTATCCTATGCAAACTCTGCAGACTATGGGACATTCACTTGGGAGGCCTAAATCCTTCCCTTGAAAGGTTGTTAAGTTTCCCAGAGTGTTAGTTAATTTTAACCATCACACACAATCAGTATGATCTTTAAAAATGGAGGAAAACTATATATTGCACTTAGATATAGGCTGTTACCTGCATGTGAGTAGTGCTATATCTTAGTGCTTAAAACTCACTGACTTAGTGTATCTTGTGTAGGCTCTAGAATCAGACTGTCTAGACTCTAGGGGCCTACTACTTCACCAACTATGACTCTGACAAGTTTTTTAACTCTATCGCACCTCAATGTCTTAAGAAACAATGATATTGGAGATAATAATAGCACTTCTTATAAACAGCTATTGTAAGGATTAAATTTTCATTTAATCTTACCAAAGCATTTTATAATATTTACTAGATTCCTGCAATAGGGCTTCCTGCTGTGGTCACCACCACGCCTGCTTCCCTCCCTTCTCCCTGGGCCCACCTGCTTTCCTCCCTTCTCCCCACCCTGCCTACATCCCTCCCTTCTTCTCCATTCCCCCCCTGCCTGCTTCCTTCCCTTCTCCCCCATCCGCTTGCTTGCTTCTATGCAGCTTCGCTTCCTTTTGCAGCTTGGCTTCTTTCTATGCTGTCTTTGGTCTTTGCACTGGCCTGGACATGCAAATTAACCACCATCTTGGTTGGGTTAATTTGCATACTCACCCTGACTGGTTGGTGGGTGTGGCTTGTGGGAATAGCGAAGGTGCGGTCAATTTGCATGATTATCTTTTATTAGATAGGATTATTACTCATGAGGATTCTTTGTTGGAGATCTTAAAGTATTCAGTCAGGGAATACTTTTTAAAAAAATATATATTTGATTGATTTTTTTACAGAGAGGAAGGGAGAGGGATAGAGAGTTAGAAACATTAATGAGAGAGAAACATCGATCAGCTGCCTCCCACCGGGGATGTCCTGCAACCAAGGTACATGCCCTTGGCCGGCATCGAACCTGGGACCTTTCAGTCGCAGGCTGATGCTCTATCCACTGAGCCAAACCAGTTTCGGCCAGTCAGGGAATACTTAAGGAATGAAAAACAATTCTAATTAAATTTCTTAAGCTTATTGTAAGTTTTCTATTTGACTGTATTTTTACCAATACATGCAAAAGAACTTCACTTTGTATTGCTTGTATTGTCTTTGAATGCTTAAAATGCCCCAACTCATGTAGATCAGATGAACTCCTGTGAGAGGTGATAGAAATTTCTTAAAAAAATAAATAAACATTTGCTCTCAATAGTCACTGCTTGAAAATTAGTAAATTATAAATTGTGTCTACATAAGATGTAGAACAAACTCATCATCGTTGGTGCATATTTATTTATTTATTTATTTATATTAGAGACCCGATACACGACATTTGTGCACTTGGGGGGGGGGGTGTCCTTCAGCCTGGCCTGCACCCTCTTGCAGGCTGGGAGCCCCAGGATTGATCATCCTGCAGAGGGAGGTCCCGTCCACTGCCACTGGCTGAGTAGCCTGGGCCTCCCTCTATGGGGCGATTGTGGAGCCCCCAGCCAGTGGCCTGGGAATCCTGCAGGGCGATGGCATGACAGCCCCCCCCCCCCCACCAATCAATCACATCACATCCGCTTTGGCAGCAACAGTCAGTGCTGGGTCACTGCCAAGAACCAGTTCCAGCATGTAATAATTACAAGATTTCTGTCAAAAGGTTGATGAGATTTGGGCAACTCAGTTAAGGGTGAGCCCTTATGTAATTTACCTGTGGGAAATAGCTAAGGCACTTCCACCAAACCTGAATAGGATTGTTAGCTGCCAGACAGCTCAGGGCATTTTATTGCCTCCTGTTGGACAAACACCTTAAGAGCTTATTCCCCAAACTGATAATGCTTCTGTATTCTACTCTTTGATATCTTACCCTTTGAAGTGTATATTTCCACCTTGCCTTAAGATAAATCAAATGAATAAAAGCAGGGTCCTGAGTGAAGGAGGAGAGTCTTTAGTTCCTTTAGCTGAAGCTCTTCTGACCCCCAATGCCTTTCAAAAATATTTTTCGTCTTTGGACTCCTTTTTAATCATCTATGCATCCAAGCCTTTGTAAGGCTTGGAATAGAACCCCAACATTTATGGCGCCCTAACGAGGGAGGCCAACAGGTCACCTCGGTGCCTGCGACCCAGGAGGGACTGAGAGGTCAGCAGTTCAGCTTGCTCGCCAGTCCCCACCCATCCAAGCCTGCTGCATGCCTAGCCTGGTGTTTGGTCGTTCGGTGGGTTGTTTTGGACATTACGGATCCTGGCTCTTTATATATATTATGATATGTGTGTGTGTGTGTGTGTGTGTGTGTGTGTGTGTGTGTGTGTGTGTGTGTGTAAAATGAAGGCCTTAATTCCAAGATGTCACTCAACATCCTAATATTTACCACAGAAATCACCCTACATATTGTTATGGGAAGAGACATAGCATCTAGGTATAGGGATCCTAAAATGCAAGAAAGGAAAAGTTGGGATGCCCCAAACCACTGATGAATAACCAAATAGTATTTGAGGCTAAACTGACTGGCTTTTTTAATCTGATCTGTAGGAATCATCACAAGCACCTTAGAAAATGCAGCCCAGTGAGTAGCTCCTCCTTTTTGGGTTTGGGTTTGTTTCTCAGGGCACAGCCCACCTTCCCAGACCCCACTTGACCCTTCCTGCATGCTGAGGGAGAGTTAGATGTCTCTGGTGGAAGATGGGTTTCTAGCTGTGGCTGGAGGTGTTGGATGTCCTCAGAAAACTATCTTTCGTAGGGACAGCCACTTTGTAGCACTCCAAAGGCTTTGGACCATGGCAACCAGAAGACAGATGCGATATGTAGCCCATCCACAAATAAAGAAAATGTGAGTCTTTAATGGAAACCTAGATACATTAGCAGTTGTCTTCCTTTAAGTAGAGCAAGTCGTCTCTATCATGAGACCTTGAGCTTGTTATGCCTCAGTATGCTAGACAAACAGCATTGCTATAGGGAAAAAATTATGGTTTTTGTTTTGTTTTATTTTGTTTTTTCTTTTAAGATTTGACCCTAGAACAGAAACCTAGCTCTAAGTCTTACACAGTAGGACATCATTATACTCATGTTTAGTTGATTGGTTTCCTTAAAAAAATCTGTTAATAAGGAATTTAGGATTTAAAAAAACCCCAGGTGAGAATAATGTACATAACTTGTTCACATACTATTTATTTGCATGGTTTCATGTACAAGAGTTTTTGATTTCTCACTTCTCCTGTAATCTAGCTTTTTAGTTCCTTTTCTAATAAACTGTGGTCCTTTTTGGTCTGAGCTTCAGGCCATCTTTGAGTATCAAGTTGATATTGACCTCTCCAGAATCATTAATTCTCTAATATCTCCAGCTAATCTCTTTTTCTAGCCATATTTTTCTTTTCCCTGTCTCTCCTCTTTTCCTCCAGGTCAGGAAGCAACTGATCAATGTTATCCATAAAAGATAGCTGCTATTTTCCTTTTCTCACATTAAGTTATGCCCATGTTTTGTCTGTCCTAATCAGCTTTTTTTAAAAAAAATTTAATACAGTCCTTTTTAACCCCCCTTTACTCATTTTTTAAAATTCTCACCTCCTCCCTAGTCAGGCTCCTTCCTTTTGGCTTATAAACATAAAATTAGTATCCCCCAAAGCAAATCCACATAACATACATCAACTCCAAACCATAATTTGTTTGGGATGAAGGGAAAACTTACATGTTCCATCAAATGCAATGTTTTTGGCAGGCTTACTGACACATGTCTTCCTCCAGCCAACGTAGTTTTTCTTATGCAGGAAAACAACACTTTGAAGCCCTTGGAAGGCAGGGCACCCAGGAACCTGAAGTTCCAAAAGAAATCAGGGGGCCCTTACCTGTCTCCCCTTTCTTCACTGGTGAGTCACTGGACATCATCAAGGGTCAGCTCAGATGTTGTGGGATATGGGATGGTAGAGCTGGATTTAGGACCCTTTGAATTTTTCTAAGCTGGCTTGAGTGAGAAAAGGGGTCGGAGAAGTAATGTTTGAACATGGAATGGGAGGAGATGTATGTCCTCTGATCTTTTGTTTAAATTTAAAGAGGGTCATATCCAAGAAATCATTGCCAAATCCAATGTCATGAAGTTTTCCCCCTATGTTTTCTTCTAAGAATTTGATAGTTTTAGCTCTTTTAGTTTAGATCTTTGATTCACTCTGAGTTAAATTTTTTTTAAAAATATATTTTATTGATTTTATACAGAGAGGAAGGGAGAGAGACAGAGAGCCAGAAACATCGATGAGAGAGAGTCATCGATCAGCTGCCTCTTGCACAACCCTCACTGGGGATATGCCCGCAACCAAGGCACATGCCCTTGACCGGAATCGAACCCGGGACCCTTCAGTCCCCAAGCTGACGCTCTATCCATTGAGCCAAACCGGTCCCGGCTGAGTTAATTTTTTATATGGTGTAAGTGTCCTGGGTAATTTGTAATATTGTCAATGTACTTGGCAGGACAATGGAAACCTGGTGGAAAGTGAAATGAAGTATCTGGGCAGTCCCATCGCTATAGTTCCAAAATTGGGTAAAAATCTAAAAATAGGAAAAGACCAGGCAGAGGAGATTTCAGATGAATTGATGGAGTTTTCCCTGGAAAATCAAGAAGAGACCAAGGTAACGTGCTCTCTGTAATACTCTAATAGTCACGATTTATATGTATCTTTGCATTTTCATTCCTTCATTCTTAAATGAACAGTACTGCCTACCTAATATGTTGTAATCACTGTACTAAGTGGTAGGTCTGCAGAGATGAAGACATGGTCTCTCTATTCTTTTTTTTTTTTTTAAATATATTTTATTAATTTTTTTTATAGAGAGGAAGAGAGAGAGATAGAGAGTTAGAAACATCGATGAGAGAGAGTCATCGATCAGCTGCCTCTTGCACACCCCCTACCTGGGGATTGTGCCCGCAACCAAGGTACATACCCTTGACTGGAATCGAACCTGGGACCTTTCAATCCACAGGCCGATACTCTATCCACTGAGCCAAACCGGTTTTGGCTATGGTCTCTCTATTCTAATGGCATCTGACTGATATGGTATCAGGTCACTATGGGATTCTTCTCAACTGCTGAGTGAGAAGTTCTAGTTAGTACTTTGACTAGATTACCATCAGTGTAGTCTGGTGTCAGTGATAATGGTAATGGATGGAATATACCTGTTAATTCATTCACTTAATGTTGGGGATACAGTACTGACAACAATAACCCAAAAAAGTCCCTGCTCTCAAAGAGCCTACATTCTAGTGCAGAGGGAACAGACAAGTAAACAAATAACATTATAATATGGCAGATCATATAAAAAATACTATAGTAAAAAAAAGCAGGGTAGGGAGAATAGGGATATCTGGATTGGGGTGGCAGAGATTGGGAATTGATAGGTTGCATAGATTAGAGAGGAAGACCCCTCTGAGAGTGGCATTTGAATGATCTCTGAAGCGGTGGGGGCCATGCAGGAGTAGGCCTTCCTTCCCTGGCTGCCGGCACCGGCTTCCTCCTGGCACCTGGGACACGGGCTTCCCTCTGGTGGAGAGCAGGCACCCAGGACCTGGGCTTCCCTCGCAGTCCCGGCTTCCTCCCCAAGGTCTTGCAGTCTAATTAGCATATTGCGCTTTTATTATTATAGCTGGGCCTTAGCCGGTTTGGCTTAGTGGATAGAGCGTTGGCCTATCTAACTGAAGGGTTCCGGGTTCCATTCCAGTCAGGGGCACATACTTTGGTTGCAGGCTCCTGGCACTTGCATGGGGCATGCAGGAGGCAACCAATCAATGTGTCTTTCTCACATCGGTGTTTCTCTCTGACTCTCCCACTCCTTTTCCCTCTCTAAAAATCAATGGAAAAAATATCTTTGGGTGAGGAAATAAATAAGTAAATAAATAAATGATAATCATATGGCTTTTCTTTTTTAACTTGTTAATATGGTGAATATATTGATTTTTGATCGATAAAACAACTTTGCATTTCTATGATAACCTTATTTTGTCATGGTATACTCTTTTTATATAATTCTTTACATTTGATTTGCTAAAATTTTGTTGAGAGTTTTTGTGTTTATGTTTCATAAAATTTATTGATTTTTAGAGAGAAAGGAAGGGGAAGAGAGAGACAGACATATTTGTCTGTCTGATTAGTCATTTCACTCATTTATGCATTCATTCATAGGTTGATTTCTACATGTGTCCTTATCAGGGATTGAACCCTGGCATATAGGGACGATGCTCTAATCAACTGAGCTACCCTGCCAAGGCAGAGATTACTGATCTTTAGGGTGTTTTTTTATTTTTATTTTTTAATGTTTTTATTGATATTTAGAGGGAGAGAGAGAGAGAAAAACATCATTGATGAGAGAGAAACATTGATCAGTTGCTCCCTACCCGCCCCCCACTTAGGAAGGAGCCTACAACCCTGGGCATGCTCCCTGAGGAGGCATGGAACCTGGAAAAAACATGATTCATGGGGTTGATGCTCAACCAACTGAGCCACACTGGCCAGGTCTGATCTTTCTTTAGTGTTTTGTTTTTCTTGGAATGTCTTTGGTATTGGTATTAGTGTAATGATGTCATCATTTGGGAAGAATTCTCTTTTTAAATTTTCTGGAAGAGTTTGTGTAGAATTGGTTTTTCTTTATTTAAAAAATATATATAAGGCACAATTCACCAGTGAAGCCATCTGGACCCGGGCTCTTCTTTGTGGGAAGTTTTTTTTGTTTTGTTTTTCATACATCTTTATTGTTCATATTATTACAAATGTTCCTCTTTTTTTCCCCCCCCTCCATTGCTCCCCTCCACCAGGTTCCCACCCCACCCTCTGCCCTTTCCCCACCCCTCATTATCCTCATCCATAGGTGCACAGTTTATGTTCAGTTTCTTCCCACATCCCCCTCTCCCCTTTTCCCCAAGAATTGTCAGTTCACTCCCCTTCCATACCTCTGATTCTATTATATTCAACAGTTAATATTGTTCATCAGATTTTTTTTTAATTTTCTTGGTGTTTAGATTCACTTGTTGATAGTTACGTATGTTGTTCATAGTTTTTATCTTTATTTACTTTCTCTTCCGAAAGAACCCCCTTCAGCAATTCATATAATTCTGGTTTGGTGGTGATGAACTCTTTTAGCTTTTTTTTATTGGTGAAGCTCTTTATCTGGCCTTCAATTCTGAGTGATAGCTTTGCTGGATAGATTATCTTTGGCTGTAGGTTCTTACATTCATCACCTTGAATATTTCTTGCCATTCCCGTCTGGCCTGCATGGTTTCTGTTGAGAAATCAGCTGATAATTGTATAGGTGCTCCTTTATAGGTAACTACCAGCTTTGCTCTGACTGCTTTTAATATTCTCTCTTTGTCTTTTGCTCTTGGAATTTTAATTATGATGTGTCTTGGTGTGGTTTTCTTTGGATTCCTTTTGTTTGGAGTTCTGTGTGCTTCCTGGACTTGTAAGTCTAATTCTTTCACCAGGTGAAGGAAGTTTTCTGTCACTATTTCTTTCAGTATGTTTTTGATATCTTGCTCTCTCATCTTCTGGGACCCCCATAATTCTGATGTTGGTTCGCTTGAAGTTGTCCCAGAGGATTTAAAGGATTTTTTAATTTCCATTGTGTTCTTTGTTGATCCACTGATTATTTAGTAGTTTGTTGTTTAATTTCTATATATTTGTGAACTTTCCAGATTTTTTTTTAGTTGCTAATTATTCCACTGTAATCAGAGAACACATTTTGTATGATTTGAATTTTTGAAACTTATTGAGGCTTATTTTATGACCTGGCATATGGTCTCTCCTGGAGAATGTTCCATGCATATTTGAGAAGAACGTATATTCTTTTGTTGTTGGGTCCAGTGTTTTATTGATGTCTATTAGGTCTAGTTGATTTATAATATTGCTTCAATTAGTTTTTGCGCTAATAATGCTGTTGTCCCAGAAGTTTCTTACATTATCTTCAATTTTCTGGATTCTCTTGCCTTCTTGCTTCTGTGGAGGAGTGTTTTCTGGCTCTTTATGTTCCAAATGTTGCGATCTTCCATTCTGTTTTTAGGACTGTATAATATTTTTTATTTCAGACAATGTATTCTTTATTTCTTGTTGATCCCTTATCATTTCTCGTTGATTCCTTATTAATTCTAGTTTATCCCTTTTCATATCCTCATAGGTCTTATCGATCTTTTCTAGGAAATTCTTGAAAAACCTTAAAAGTGTAGATTTGAACTCTATATCCAGTCGCTTTTTGTCCTCCATTTCTTTTGTTTGTAATCTATTTTGTCTCGGCATTTTCGCAGCTTCCCTGATGGGGCAGGGTTTCAGGGTGGAGCCTACAGCCTTGGCTTCCCTCAGCCCCGCCCTATTCGGCTCATGAGTCTCAGGGTCCTTCAGTACTCACTGCAAACGCCTCTGAGAGAAAGGTGCCCTCGATTTTCGCCTGCTATCAAACAGTCTAGGCTCTCCCCCAATGAGCCCGGTATTGGGGTTCAGTTCAATTAGAAGTGGAGTTGGAGGTGGCGTTCAGAGCAGTCTGGAGCCCCTGTCTCCTCCCCGCCAGGGCAATCCCGAGGCACAGCCAACCGTACCTTCTCTGCGTACAATGTGCGTGCCTCCAGGACCTCCTTTCGCCAGTCCCCTGGGGTTCCGCCTTACAGCCCAGCTCCCTATGGATGAGCCTAGGTCCCTGGACTCTGGCCTAGAACTGAGGTTCAGAGCAGTCGGAACTGGGGCCCAGCACAGTCGGAGCTTTTATCTCCTTCCCGCTAGGGAACGCCAGCCAGGCAATCAGCCACCCCTTCTCTCCGGCTCTGGGCTATGTCCTCTTGGCGTGCGCTGTGTGTCTCCGTACCTTAGGCTTTTACAGCTCCTCCGCGCTTCCTTCTGGTTTTCTACTTGCTTCTTGTTGTAGAATTTCCAGTCAGTCGACTTTCCTGTAGTTCTGGGTAATGTCCATTTTATATTTTAGTTGTATTTTATTGAAATTGTTGTGTGCGGCTGCGGTTAGGTGTTTGCCTGAGCAGCCATCTTGGATTTTCCCATGAACTTATTTTTATGCAATGAAATTAATCTACAATGTTTTATTGCATAATAGTAATTTATAATATCTGGTACATGATCTATTTAACCAAGACCTGTTATTGAACATTTAATAATATATTAGTAATTTTTTCTATCAATCCTTATAGTCAAGTTTTTTTGTGCATATTTTTATTTCCTTAGGAAAGCAGGTGGACTTATTAGAACAGAGGGCATGCAATTTTTTAATGATTCTCCACTTCTTCCATCCCCTGATTTTTAAACTTTTAACATGAGAATTGAGTGTACGGGAATCTTGTCGTTTTCAGGGCTTAGGTCTGAAGAAGACAGTCTCTCTCTGTGACATTAATGCCACTCAGATGCTGGAGGCCGCTTCTAACCAGGGGTACCTGACTGGTGATTTCTCCAAGGTGAGTGTGGGTGCACCTTTTCTATATTTGAGTCATTTGGGGTCTGAATCTTTCCTTCTCTGCTTGCAGAGAACACTAGGTATAATTAAAAAAAGAAGAAAATGCACATGCTGTCCTGGACATTTGAAAGCTATCCCTTCTGTTACCATTTTTTTAGCTTAATAAAACATTTCCATTTTTGTCCTGTAGGCTACTCTTTTTTAAAAAACAACATTTTTTAAAATTGGTTGAAGAGAGGAAAGGAGAGAGAGAGAGAGAGAGAGAGAGAGAAACATCAATGATGAGAATCATTGATCAGCTGCCTCCTTCATGCCCCATAAGGGGGATTGAGCCCGAAACCCAGGCATGTGCTCTGACCAGAAATGGAACCATAAACTCCTAGTTCACAGGTCAATGCTCAACTACTGAACCACACAGGCCAGGCTAATTGATCTTTAGAATTCCCAAACAGAAAAATGTCAAAGTATTTCTTAAAATCTTAGAGGCATTTTTTCCCTGCATATTTGTTTCTACATAGCAAATTAGTAGCTTGTAAAAGGTTCCCATTTTTGTTTTATTCTAGTTTTGTGATTTTTTTTGTTTTTATTCCCCGCCTCTTCCTCTCTAAAATCAATTTAAGAAAAAATTCCACTTCACCATTTTAAAAAATATATTTTATTGAGTTTTTACAGAGATGAAGAGAGAGGGATAGAAAGTTAGAAACATCAATGAGAGAGACATCGATCAGCTGCCTCTTGCACACCCCCTACTGGAATGTGCCCAAAACCGGTACATGCCCTTGACCGGAATCAAACCTGTCAGTCCGCAGGCTGACGCTCTATCCACTGAGCCAAACTGGTTTCAGCATCCACTTCATCTTTTTTTTTTTTTTTTTTTTTTTTTTTTTAATATATTTTATTGATTTTGTACAGAGAGAAAGGGAGAGAGATAGAAAGCTAGAAACATCGATGAGAGAGAGTCATCGATCAGCTGCCTCTTGCACACCCCCTACTGGGGATATGCCCGCAACCAAGGTACATGCTCTTGACCGGAATCGAACCCGGGTCTCTTCAGTCCCCAAGCCGACGCTCTATCCATTGAGCCAAACCGGTCTCGACCACTTCATCATTTTTAACAATACAGTATTTTATTCTTTTTTTGGCTTGATAAATCCCTTCTAAAATATTTTATATATATTTTTTTGTGAAGTATACCAGGATGGACATAGTTGTAGCTACATCTAAAACTTTATACACATTCTTAATTAGTTTCTTTGATATAAATTGAACTGCTGCTGTAGTTCTTAGAAATTGAGTGCACATTATAGAGACCATTGGTGGAGTAAAGTTCATTTGGAAAGATGGACAATAGCCCTAGCTGGTTTGGCTCAGTGGGTAAAGCATTGGCCTGCAGCCTGAAGGGTCCTGGGTTCAGTTCTGGTCAAGGGACATGCCCGGGCTGAGGGCTTGTTCCCTGGTGTAGGGTGTGCAGGAGGCAACTGACCAATGATTCTCATCATTGATGTTTCTGTTTCTTTCTTTCTGAAATCAATAAAAAAATACATTTTTTTAAAAAAGAAAGAAGGACAATATATGGGCGTTTTTTGTTTTTTTTCAAATTTGGTATAGAAAAATTGCTGTTATTTCATCTCTTTGGTATTTCTAGGTATGTGCACTGCCAACCGTGTCAGGGCGACACCAAGATCTGAAGTACATCAGCCCGGAAACAGTAAGCAGATTTCTGGAGATGGTAACTGGTTACATAAGCTACCATCTGGTCTGTTCTGTCCCTAAAATCCCCACTTCCGATTGTATTTCTTTCACTGACTGTGTTCACTAACAGATTCCTTATTCAATTGAAGCTGTGTTAAAGGACTTACTTTTATCTCATTCTTCTGTCACCTTCATTTTTAATTAAACGAGTGATATGTAATTTTTATGAAAGGAAAAAATGAAAGAAGGCAAGAAAGGAAGGAAAGAAAGTAAAGTTAAAGAAAAGGCAAAAACCCCAAAAGGAAAAATCACTTCATTTGAGTGATCTTACATCCTGATTTACATGTTACAATTTCATTTATGCCTACTAGTGCAGGGTAATTATTAACACCGTTCTTTCACTCTAAAAAATGTCCCAGTGCCTGGCCAGTGTGGCTCAGTGGTTGAGCATCAACCTCTGAACCAGGAAGTCAGGTTTCAATTCCTGGTCAGGGCATATGCCCAGGTTGCGGGATTGATCCCTAGTGGGGGAGGGGGGGTGCAGGAGGCAGTCTATCAATGATTCTCTCTCATCATTGATGTTTCTATCTCTCCCTCTCCCTTTACCTCTCTAAAATCAATATTTCTTTAAATATATTTCTTTATATATATATATATTTTTTTATTTTTTTTTTACAGAGTGTAAGGGAGAGGCATAGAGAGTTGGAAATATTGATGAGAGAGAAACATCAACCAGCTTCCTCCTGCACACCTCCTCCTGGGGATGTGCCCGCAAGCAAGGTACATGCCCTTGACCGGAATCGAACCTGGGACCTTTCAGGCCGCAGGCCGACGCACTATTCACTGAGTCAAACCGGTTTCAGCTATTTTATTGATTTTTGACAGAGAAGAAGGGAGAGGATAGAGAGCCAGAAACATCGATCGGAGAGAAACATCAATCAGCCGCCTCCTGCACACCTCCGCTGGGGATGTGCCCACAACCAAGGCACATGCCCTTAACCTGCATCGAACCTGGGGCCCTTCAGTCCTCAGGCTGACGCACTATCCACTGAGTCGAACCGGTCAGGGCCTTTTATTTTCATATGTATCGACAGTGTGAGTGTCCACATGGGGTAGGCCAGGTGATGGAAATGATGAACTAATTTATACTTAAGGCTTACTTTCTTTCTTTATATTGGAGGGTGGGGAACCATTTCGCGTCTCTTGCAAAATCTGGATCTCTAGCTGCTACCTGTACTACTGCAGAAGTCTTTGTCTGAAAGACTGATTCCAGCCATGCCTGCCTCAAGAATAGTAGCTTCAATATGGTTTTCCCCAGTATCCTGGCAATACCAGCTTTTTCGGTTCTCTAAAAAGGCCACTTGCTATTCCATTTTGTGTGGGGTGGGGCTGAACCGTTGCCACATTTCAAAATAGGGGAACTTTTGGAGGCTAGTCATACAGTGGAATCCTGGGTGACTAAAGGGAGTGTAAATCCGAAACTGTGAAACTGTCTCTTTTTTCCTTCAGAGTGACAGTGAGCAGGGTGTTCAATCATCATTTCTGTGCAGGTGGCTGCCTTATTGTTGGGGAAATTCCAGGGCCTGATTGAAAAGTTTTACATCATCGATTGCCGCTATCCATATGAGTACCTCGGAGGACACATCCAGGTGAGGTTACTTGGGGACATTGGCAGGGAAAGAGTTGGAGACAGCTCTGTGAACTCTAGAACCAGGGCAGACCTACATTTGGAGCACATCAAAGCTGTAAGTCTTCACTGCTCTTCGAATTCTGTATACTTTGAGCAATTTACTTTCCCCTTCCCTCCTAGACCAATCTCCCTCCTTTCAGTAGGAGCTAAAGGCTCTTATATGGAAATAAAAACATTCATCCAAGGACTGAGAGGCACTTTGCAAACATTTTACTGCTCATAGACAGTTCTCACATTGACACTACACTTCAGGCATACTTAGTTCTATGAACATTTATTGAGTAACGACTACATACCAATCTCTAAGCCAGGCCCTGGGGGTAGATAGGGAGATACAGTTAGGTCTCTTTGAAAGTGCTTATAGTCTAGACTTCCTGGCCCACATTTCCCCAGGTAGTATGGTATCCCAGGTATTTCTAAGTGTTGGTTTTACTGTCCACAGGCCCTTGAGGAAATACTTATTAAAATTTTTCTACAGGGAGCCTTAAACTTGTTCAGTCAGGAGGAACTGTGTAACTTCTTTCTGAAGATGCCTGTTGTCCCTTTGGATGCCCAGAAGAGAATAATCATCGTGTTCCACTGTGAATTCTCCTCAGAGAGGGGCCCCCGAATGTGAGTGTCTACATGGGGTAGGCCGGGTGATAGAAATTTGAACTTGAGTTGGGACTTAAAAGGGATCCTTCCCAGACTGAATGAATGCTCTCTCCTGTGGTTTGAAGAATGATAGGGAGGTGAAGGAGGGGGTTTCAACAATTCAAAAGTTTGGAGCTGTGGAAGAAAAAGGACTGGAATTAGGCACTAGTGGAGGAAAAGAGAAAGAATGATGCTTCTTAGGTCTTGTTTTGCAAAGAAAATGAGATCTGGAAGTCCTTATGGAGTTAGCAATAGTCTATTCTTTCTCCCCCTCCCCATTGAGTGGCCCATGGAATCCTGACCTTCTTTTCACCTCACTCATCTCTGCGCTTTCTTTAAAGGTGCCGCTCTCTGAGAGAAGAGGACAGGGCTCTGAACCAGTATCCTGCATTATACTACCCAGAGCTGTATATCCTCAAAGGGGGCTACAGAGACTTCTTTCCAGACTATCCGGTAAAGGATGGGACAAGTGGGCCAGTGAGGGAGCCTAGACTTGGGGACGCCAACTTTAGGGTGCAACTTCGAAGGCATGCAGGGCCCTCCAAGAAGAAATTGCTGATCCTTCCTAGCTACTACCATCAGTCTCTCTATTATTCTGGGTCGGCATAATAATAGAGGGTCCCTTACTCTGTCCCTGACTTTCCTTTCAGGTGCTATGCGAACCACAGAGCTACTGCCCTATGCACCACCAGGACCATAAGGCAGAATTGCTGAGGTGTCGAAGCCAGAGCAAAGCATGGGAAGGGAAGCGGCAGCTGCAGGAGCAGATTGCCTTACTGGTGAAGGATGGGAACCTACGATAATAGATCAGCTGCTGGCTCCTTAGGAATCACCAAAAGATAATATAGAAAACCTGGACAGGAAGAGGTCAACAGGCTGCCAAACAGATGCAATCCTAGCCTTGGGGAGTTGCTGGCTGGTGGAGCTGACTTTGTAAGCTGTAGCCTTGGGTTGTGTTGAGGTGTGTGTTGCTTCAGGGAGTGTTTACATTCTCTTTCTAACTAAGCCAGCCAGCTAGCTCTTTCTCTCCCTGAGCTTCCAGCTATGCAAGAGAGTTATCCACATTCTTTCTCTGTATTTTCCTTCTTTGTTTCCCCCTCTCCCTTTTTATTAAGTGGAAAAATAAAAATCGTAGAATGAGAGATGTGATTGTGAGCCTAGTCTGCTCCTAGAAGATTTCTATGAGGAAGTGGTCACCAAATTAGACTCTTTCAGACAAAAAGGTATAACCATCTCAAATTCAGAGTTAAGACCACAGTGCTTTTCTCAAGATCAGCTAGTTGATAGAGTGTTGGCCTATGGGCTGAAGGGCCCCAGGTTCGATACCGGCCAAGAGCACATGCCTGGGTTGCCAGTTTGATCCTCAGTGGGGGGTGTGCAGGAGGCAGCCAATCAGTGATTCTCATTATTGATGTTTCTATCTATCTCTCTCCCTCTCTAAAATAAAATAGATAAATAAAAAATAAATGGGAAAAAATCCTCAGGTAAGGATTAACAAAACAAAAAAAGATTAAAAAACAAAAAAAGTTTAGACCTTGGACCATCACTATCATCTGAACTCATTTAAAATACAAAATTTCAGGTCTCATTCCAGACTTAGTAAATCAGAACCTCTGAGTCAGGGCCCAGAAACCCGAGTTCTAAAAATCTCCCTTGTAAGTAATTCTGATGGTCACCAAAGCTTGAGATCCACTGCTGTGGAATTAAAATCCTTCTGTGCATTCTTTAGCAAAATTCCAGGCTTTCCTTTCCTGAAGACCATCTCATGGTATGAGTTATACTCAAGTGTTTCCCAGACTCGGCCCTCTGGTATCTAGGCTTAGAAAACCAGATGAGTGGCATTCTCTACAGCTAGTGATAAGTTCAGTTTGGCTTAAAAAGTTCCTTGTCTACAGTCACAATGGAGTTTAGGCTTTTTCCACTTCCCAAACTCTTTTCTCCCCTCCATTTCACAGCTCACAAAATACAAATTTAGATTTAATGTGGTTGGAAGTAGATATTTGCACTATATTTATGGAATAAGATAAAATAAAGTACCAAGCAAGATCAGTTAGATTTAAGGAAGACCTATTATTTTTAAAAATTACTTTTAGCTGAAACTGGTTTGGCTCAGTGGATAGAGCTTCAGCCGGGTTTGATTCCGGTCAAGGGCATGTACCAGATGCGGGCACATCCCCAGTGGGAGGTGTGCAGGAGGCAGCAGATCAATGTTTCTCATCGATGTTTTTTTTTTTTTTTTAAATGTATTTTATTGATTTTGTACAGAGAGGAAGGGAGAGATAGTTAGAAACACCGATGAGAGTCATCGATCAGCTGCCTCTTGCACACCCCCTACTGGGGATGTGCCTGCAACCAAGGTACATGCCCTTGACCGGAATCGAACCCGGGACCCTTCAGTCCCCAAGCCAACGCTCTATCCATTGAGCCAAACCGGTCTCGGCTCTCATCGATGTTTCTAACTCTCTATCCCTCTCCTTTCCTCTCTGTAAAAAAATCAATAAAATATATTTTAAAAATTATTTTCAGTTGAAACCGGTTTGGCTCAGTGGATAGAGTGTTGATTTGTCAACTGAAAGGTCCCGGGTTCGATTCCGGTCAAGGGCAAGTACCTTGGTTGCGGGCACATCCCCAGTAGGGGGTGTGCAGGAGGCAGCTGATTGATGTTTCTCTCTCATCGATGTTTCTGAACTGTTCCTCTCTCTTCCTCTCTGAAAAAAAAAATCAATAAAATATACTTAAAATAAAATTACTTTCAGAGAAAGAAACATCGATTTGCTATTTCACTTATTTATGCATTCATTGGTTGATTCTTGTATGTGTCCTGACCAAGGACCAAACTTATAACTTTGGCAAATCATGATGAAGCTCTAACCAACTGAACTACCCAAACAGAGCAAGGAAGACCTTTTAACTGGCATTCTTCATCAGTATCCCAGGTTTTCCCTTCTTAGAGTTTTTTTTAAGGAGAGTAGGCTTTTGTCTGCTTAATTGGATACAGCCCTAGTTAAAAGCAGGTGGAAGGAGGACTGGACTAACGCTTCTCTGGAGTGTAGTGTGCATGCCTCACAGCAGAGGGCACTGTTGTATTCTCTAAGCCATCCACTGGAGCTTGCATCCCTCACTCCTCACAAATGCCTGTCTGTGCAGAGGGAAAATACCGCTCTGGTCTCCCTGAGCCCTTGAGCTCAGAGCTAGAAGAGGTGAAAGGAAAAAAAGGAGAGAAAAGCTGCTGCCTCACCCCACACACTTACCCCCACCAAGCAAGGAGGAAATTGCTTGAAGCACCTTCACTTTCAATTGTGAGAAGGGGCCCCTGACTCATTATCTACTCTAGTGGGTTATTTCCTGATAGTTATTCCCAAGAAGGTAGAACTAAGCCCCACCTCTGAAGAGACTGGTACCCATGTGTTCACATTTCATTAATCTTTTTTAAAAAAAATATATTTTATTGATTTTATACAGAGAGGAAGGGAGAGAGCTAGAGAGTTAGAAACATCGATGAGAGAAAGTCATCGATCAGCTGCCTCTTGCACACCCCCTACTGGGGATATGCCCGCAACCAGGGTACATGCCCTTGACCGGAATCGAACCCGGGACCTTTCAGTCCCCAAGCCGACACTCTATCCATTGAGCCAAACCGGTCCCGGCACATTTCATTAATCTTAATAATTGGAAATTCTGAGTTATAAAACAAAAAACAAAGGCTTAACAATCTACTTTGTGAAAAATTATATTTGCCTAAAAGGCAACATTTTTCCATGTAATTTTTGTTTATTTTATTTATTTTTAGAGAGGAAGGGAGAGAGAGAAACATCGACATGAGAGCAAAACATCTACCTGCTGCCTCCTGCATGTGCCCCAGTGGGGAATCGAACCTACAACCCAGGCCTGCACCCTGTGCCCTGACCAAGAATCAAACCAGTGACTTTTCAGTGCATGGGACAATACCCAACCAATTGAGCCACACCAGCCAGAATCCATATAAATGTTATAACATCCTCCTACTGTATAGGTATTATGGTTTGATTCATACTATTTTCAGGAGGTACTTATTGCATGCAAGATTTTTTTTAATGAACTTGTGTATATGTAAACTAATCTTCACACTAATTCTGAGGCAGGTACTGATTATTATGATTATTATGTTTTATAGGTAAAGAAATTAACTTATTTTAAGATCACACAGCTAGTGAATGATGGAGTTGGGATTTGAATCCAGTCAGTATGGCTCCAGAGTCTGTACCTTAATGGATTTTCCGTTACCAGGTCCTCATCAAAGAACAAAGTGCCTTTCCAGAGCTGGCATTGTGTAGCATGTTAAATATGTAAGCCTCAGTTGTAGGTTCTGGAGAAGTCAGGGCCGTAAGGATTGCTTAAGCTTGCAAGGCTAAGAGCGGACGCTATGATCCTGGCCCTTAGACCTCAGCACAAGGCTATTTAGGGGGTCAGCTCTGCACTGTTCTCCTTGCACAGCCAGTATTCATCATGAAGTCAAGCAAAAAAGCATGGAAACTTTTGGGCCTAAAAGCTGCTTCTGGTTGTCAATCTCAATCTAGGACCTGGCTGACCTCTGCCATTAAAAAGGGAGGAGCAGCCCTGGCTGGTGTTGCTCAGTGGTTAGAGTGTTGGCCTATGCACCGATGGGTTGTGGGTTTTATTCCCGGACAAGGGCATGTACCTGGGTTGCACATCCAATCCCTGCTCCCAATCAGGGTGTGTGGGGGGGGGAGGTAACCAATCCATTTGTCTCTGTCATATATGTGTCTGTTTCTCCCTCTTCTCCCCCCCCCCCCCCACCCCCCGCCTCCCTTCCACTCTCTCTAAAAATCACTGGGAAAACTAAAGGGAGGAGCAGCCTGGTCCAAATGGTTCAGTTGCGTGAGCATCACCCTCTGCACTGAGAGGTCGCTGGTTTCAATTCCCAATCGGCACATATCCGGGCTGTAGGCTCAATCCCCAGTAGGGGGCGTGCAGGAGGCAGCCCATCAATGTTTCTCTCACAAAAAAAAAAAAGCCTTTCTCTTTCCTTCTCAGGGGTATAAAGTGGGAGACATATAGGATTCTCTTTTCAGGCAAGTGTTAAGGAAACACCATTTCCTTTATTTTTTAAAAAAAATATATATTTTGATTTCAGAGAGGAAGGAAGAGGGAGAGAGAGAAAAACATCCATGATGAGAGAGAATCATTGATCAGCTGCTTCCTGCAAGTGGGGGTCAAGCCCACAACCCAGGCATGCGCCCTTGACCAGAATCGAAGCTGGGACCTTTCAGTTCACATGCCAGTGCTTTATCCACTGAGCCAAACCAGCTAGGGCAACACCAATTCCTTTAAACGTACATATATCTGGAGTTGTTAATTCTGAGTACCAGAGATATTCAGATAAGACACAAGCCTGGCCCTCAAAAAACTGACAAGGTAGAAAATTATTTTTGTTTCTATCCCTGGCTCACTAGTATATTCAGCAAAAGGAAAAATTGTGTGTAGTCTCCAGCTCCAAAGCAGCGAGTTGGGCGATGGGGGCCGGTCGAGTTCACAGGTGTTTAGTTTCTGCATGCCACTTGGGATGATGCCACTTTTAAAAATATTTTAAAATATTTTTATTTATTTTTAGAGAAGAGGGAGAGAGAAACATCAGTGATGAGAGAGAATCATTGATTGGCTGCCTCCTGCACACCCCCTACTGGGAATGCAGCCAGCTACCTGGGCATGTGTCCTTAACTGGAATCGAACCCAGGACCTTTTAACTCCACAGGCTGGCACTCTATCCACTGAGCAAACCAGCTAGAGCAGGATGATACAATGTGTCAGGCACCGTGTTAAACCTTTTATTCAATATATACTATTAAATCCTCAGAACTATTACACATCTGAAGTAGATACTGTTATTAATTTTACAGATGAAAAAAAAACTGAAGCACAGAAAGATCAAATGACTGCTCAAGTCACCCGCCTGTGTTAGAAATGTCATTTGAACTAAGGCAACTTGTAAAGCTTGTGCTCTTAGCTGTTCACTATATTGCTAACATCCTGGGTTAGGATATCAGCAGGAATTAAAGCTTAACAGTAAGTGAGAGAGGACTTGATAGAAAGCAGAAAACCAAGATTACAAGTGAAAGTGGAGTTGAAGTGCAGGATCTTTGGACCTTGGAGCCCCAATCAGTGGGTTGCAGTTCCTCCCAGAGCAGGGTTTGTGTCTGAACAATTTTTGCATCTGGCACAAAGCTGGACCCATAATTTGTCTCAAAAGACATTGGATTGAATGATGGCTGAGTAACATCATCTTTGTAGAAAGGACTGTCTCATTTGTCATTATCCACAAGGTTCCCAACCCCTGTGCTCTATAGCAGGTGTTGGCCGTCATAGAGGACGCGTTGGGGGGAGAAGGGTATGCTGGAAGAGTGTCTTGGAGTCACATTTATTTGTAGAGGCTTTCTCAACCCTCCCGTAGTTTGGTTATAGGTCCTCATTAAAGGCCCAATGATGTCAGCCTCTCTCTCCACCACTACCCCAACCCCGCCTGTGCCCAGAAATATACTCCAGGCACCGCATTTACTCTCACAAAAAGCCTGGCCTCAGAACTGGGCATTGCTTTTAGCCCACCTGTGTGACCTTGTTCCCGCCTTCCTGGTCCATTCCATGGGGATAGCATTGAGTAGACACTTTCAGTAGGCACCCGGGACAAAGGCCTTTTCTCAACCTACCCACCCACCCCCAACTTTTTTTTTTTTTTTTTTTACACCCACCCCCAACTTGATTTGGCTTTATTGCGGAAGGAGAGGGACAGCAGATGCCCCCTGACCACACCACAACTTTGTTGATTTGTAGGCCTGGGCCTAAAGTTGTTACCTTTTGTTTTGTAAATTCTGTTCTGAGACTGTTGCCAGAGTGGGGGCTATCATAGGCTCCCCAGCTACAGTTTTCTAACCTTAATGGAGGGTAAGGGTGGGGGTGGGGGCTTGGGAAAGGTAGGCCACCCTGAGGGAAAACAGGCCTTGGACAAAAGCGGAGTAGCCAGATGTTCACTTCCACCATTCTGTAAGACCAGGCAAGGCAGATACGGATTAAAAAGAGGCACAAACTCCATTTAAAGTGCATTACAGCTCAGGAACCAGCTCTGCCCTGGGCAGGAGAAGGGAGGAAAAGGGCAAAAGAGGCCACATCAGTCTCTCTCCTTATCTAGAGCCACATGTCTCTCTCCTAGCTTTGTGAAGGGTGATTTACACCCCTGGCTGGAATGACTCTTTCTGTGCTGATTACATTGGCAAATGCCCCCCAGAGGCCACTGCAGGATGGCCATATTCAGAAACAGCAGCCAATAAATCTCAGAGGTTTATGTCGTGCTGCTCGATACCCTCCTTTCTGGCCCTTCGCCAGGTGGACTGTGGCAGTGAGAGGGTTAGAGAATGAAACCCTCTCCTTCCTTTCATCACCTTTTCCTCTTGAAGCACTGCTTACTTAATTGTCAGTCATCAGGTCCTTCTGCCCCTCTATTTGTGCTGGGAGCAGGTGGGAATCCACCCCAGGCCAGTGAGCACCTTTGCATCTATACAGAGAAACCCTGGGCTCTGGCACAGCTGTCTCTACCGAGCTGCTTCGTCTTGGGAGAGCTGCTTGCTCTCTGAAACGTCACCTGAAAATGATGAGGCACCTAAATGGTCTCTCCAGCCACCTTCCTCGGTGATCTTGTCTTTTCTTCCAGGGAAATCTCCGCTGTTTAGTCTGAGACGGGTTTAATCCTTCCATCCTGCCTCATGACTCTGAGGGGGCTGAAAGAGCCTAGTCTGACAAAGACCCTGGGATCTGGGACCAGATCTGCTCCCTGTCTGAGACCCATCTTTGCAGAATCTTGGGGTTAAAAACAATACGGCTGAGACCAGTTTGGCTCCGTGGATGGAGCGACAGTCTGTGGACTGAAGGGTCCCAGGTTCAATTCCGGTCAGGGGCATGTACATTGGTTGCGGGCACATCCCCAGTGAGGAGTGTGCAGGAGACAGCTGATGGATGCTTCTCTTTCATAGATGTTTCTGGCTCTCTCTCTCTCTCTCTTCCTCTCTGTAAAAATTCAATAAAATATATTTAAAAAAACAAACAAAAAAACAATGACGAACTCTTACCTTTGAAGATACTTAATGAGGGAAAAATGAAATCATAGATGTGTGCAACTTCTAAGAAAAAAAAATACTAGAAACGCAAGTGTCCTAGTGCTGGTGTGTTCAAGTTTTGTTACAAGATTTCATTTGTGCTGGTTATTCCTTGTTGGGAGAGTAGGTGGGGGGTGAGAAAGGTTGTTTTTTTGGGGGGATAGCTATTGTGAACCCCCCAGATGGTGAGTGATTCTCAGCGGTGGCTTCCCCAATATCCCCAGGATCTCCCCCCACCCCTCCCGCTCCCAGGGCACTCGCCCTCTGCCCCCATCCCAGCTTCCTCTCCGTCCCGAGAAAGGAGAGGCGCGTCTGTCCGCCTCGGAGTTGGAGGGCGGCGCCCAGGACCCCGGTGGGAGAGTTGGCGCCCGGCGCGCGGGGAGGGAGGGGAGGGGAGGAGGGAGGCAGCGGTGGGAGGCGCCGGCAGGGCCCCCAGCTCCCTGGGCTCCAGGGCGGGGAGAGGAGGGAGCGGGGCGCCGGCACCGGCAGAGCAGCCCCGGGGCCAACGCCGCCCGCGCACCGCACCTCTCCGTGGCCATGGCGCGCCGCGCGGACCTGCTGTCGGCGCTGTCTGTCCTGCTGCTGCTGCCGCCGCTGCTCGGAGCTGGTGAGTGTCCCCTGTGCCCTCCAGGACCCACTCGGCCAGCGTGTTAGGAGGAGGAGAGGGAAGGGGAGAGTGTAGGTGGAGCCCTGTCAGCACTGCCCAGAGAGGACTCTCTCGGCACCGCCACCTGGTCCCGGGGATCGGTTCCTCCGAGCCTGGGGCACTAGAGGTGGTCCCCAGGGGGGCAGGGAAGGGCTGGGTTCCAGGCCTAATAAAGGGTCTGAACTGTTGTAGATTGAGTTGCATGCAATGACCAGTACACTTACGCATCTCCTAGCGCCGGTTCCCCTCTTCCTCTTTTGTGGTGCATCTGATCCGTCACGGAACAACCACAACTTTCACAACACCATCTCTGGCTGGTGGGGAAACAACGTTTGCTCCCCGTGGGCATCATCTCGTCCATCCCTGTAAGGACGGGGGGAGTGGACACTAGGCACAGATGATGAGAAGTTTCCGTTAGAAGTGACTTGTCACAAACTAGGGTTGTGAAATGCTGCCAACACATGCTAACATCGTTATTTAGTTGTATTGCTGAGAATATTGCTCACCACCAACCCACGCCCCTTAAAGATGTACTTTTTTTAATTAGAGGAGAAAACTGGCTCTTGGGCAAAATGGCCTTTCCCCGCAATCTATCAACACAGTGCCCTTCCCTATTATTGAAAGATACGCAGTAGGTGTTTTGTGGAATGTGTAGATCAAGGCCTGGTTTTAGAACCATGCCATTGGCCAGGGAATGGGCCCATGCCTGGCCTTTGTGAAGGATGGGTTCCTGCCCAGAGCCTGAGTGGAGGGAAGGCTGAGGCAGGGACAGCACATGGACTGGTGACTTTGTCAAGGTGCGTACTAGAGAATTGCAATCTTGGGTGCAAGACAGATATGGAAGGAAGGAGAGAAAGGACTAGTTTGTCCAAACTGACCATTAGCAAATCAGGGCAGTAAGAAATCACTCATATGGTTTGACTGCCCAGGAAAGCTCACTAACCCTTACAGTATGGCTGCATGTGAGGATCAAGGATAAACACCGAACATCTTTTTTATTTTTTATTTTTATTGATTTTGTACAGAGAGGAAGGGAGAGAGATAGAGAGTCAGAAACATCGACAGAGAGTCATCGATCAGCTGCCTCTTGCACACCCCCTACTGGGGATATGCCCGCAACCGAGGTACATGCTCTTGACTGGAATCGAACCCAGGACCCTTCAGTCCCCAAGCCGACGCTCTATCCATTGAGCCAAACCAGTCTCGGCATCACACCGAACATCTTGAGCTTCAATGCCCCTAAATGCACCATTGCCCAGACTTGGTGAACTATCAACTAAGAGATGTTTACTTTTGAAAATTGTTACAACTGGATATTTAGTCCAGTGAAAGCAATGAGACTTGGACCTGCTATTTTTCTTTCAGCAAACACTGGGTACCTACCAGACTTTTAGCATTTCTCAGGCTATTTAAATTTAGGTCTCACTTTTGGTAAAGACAAACATCTCATGCCTTTCTTAAATATATTTCAAAACTTAAAAAGCTGTTTTTTCATCTTCCACATATAAAAAGATTAAATATGCTTTTTTTTTTAACTACACATTCCTTTGAAAATTCTGATATACCACTAAACAGAGGCCTAACTTCTCCCTTCTTCCACTCCTCCATTGAGAAATTCTGGTTTAATCCAATCCTTTCATCTTACATTTGTTAAACTAAGACCCAAAAAGTGAATTAAATGGTCCTATATAGGGCTGGGACTAAAGTGAGGTGAGTGAAGGGAGTGTCCAGAAACTCAGTAGTGAAGATAAAGAATATTTCAATGCAATATTTAAAAAAATAAAAACACCAAAAAAAAATCCATGATGAACAAAATATTGGAATTTTATTTTTATTTTATTTTATTTTTAATGTATAGTTTTTTTTAAATATATCTTATTGATATTTTACAGAGAGGATGAAGGGAGAGAGCTAGAGAGCTAGAAACGTTGATGAGAGAGAAATATCGACCAGCTGCCTCTTGCACACCCTCTACCAGGGATGTACCCGCAACCAATGTACATGACCTTGACTGGTATCGAACCCGGGACCTTTCAGTCCACAGACCGATGCTCTACCACTGAGCCAAACCAGTTTCGGCAAAATATTGGAATTTTAAATAAAAAGATTAACAGTGTCATGCTGAGGCATATTTGAGGTTTAAGCCAAAGGAAAAATCAGTAATGTTTTTATGCACTGGATATAGTACCAAAGCTTAAGCTATAAGGTGTATATTACTTTCCAGTGAACTTGCTAAAATTTGGATTCCCACCCTGGCCAGGTTGCTCAGTTGGTCAGAGTGTTGTCTCCTACATCAAAAGGTTGCAGGTGCTGAAACCAGTTTGATTCAGTGGATAGAGCGTCAGTCTGTGGACTGGAAGTTTCCAGGTTCGATTCCAGTTAAGGCCATGTATATTGGTTGCGGGCACATCCCTGGTGGGGGGCTTGCAGGAGGCAGCTGATCGATATTTCTCTCTTGTTGATGTTTCTAGCTCTCTATCCCTCTCCCTTCCTGTAATTGTAAAAAATCAATTACACTAGCTATTGGGGTGGCACAAATACTTTTTACAGGTTCCTTCCTCTCTGTAAAAAATCAAGAGGTTGCTGGTTTGATTCCCAGTTAGGGCACATACCTGGGTTGCAGGCGTGATTTCCCTGTGTGGAGTGTGCAGGAGGCAACCAGGCGATCAATGATTCTTTCTCACAATTGATGTTTCTATCTCCTTCTACCTTCCTCTTTGAAATAAATAAAAATATATTTAAAACCCCCACAAATGTTCTTATTAAAAAAATAAAGAAAGAAATGAAGATGCTGGTTTCTTTGAAGGAATGATGACTGGCAGAGGACTTATGGGATACTGGTAATGTTCTTGTCCTTTACCTGGGGTCTGATCACACAGGTGTATTCAGTTTGAAATTCATTAAACTGTACTTTTTTATGCGCTTTTCTGTACGTTGGGCTTCAATAAAAATTTTTATTACCAAACATGATATACAATGAAAATTGTCGAGCAACATCATTAGTTATTAGGGAAATGCAAATGAAAACCACAATAGAAACCACTTCATACCCATTAGGATAGCTATTAAAAAAAAAAAAAAAAAGAAGAAGAAGAAAATAGCAAGAGTTGGCAAGTATATGGAGAAATTGGAACCCCTGTATATTATTAGTGGGAATGTAAAATGGTACAGCCACTATGGAAAATAATTTGGCAGTTTCCCAAAATGTTAAATATAGAATTACCATTTGATCCAGCTATCCACTCCTAGGTATACACCCCAAAGAGCTGAATACAAGTTCAAGCAAATACTTGTATAGGAATGTTTACAGCAGTGCTATTCAAAGTAACCAAAAGGAAACAACCCAAATGTCCATCAATTGATGTTTGGATAAACAAAATGTCATACATCCATACAATGAAATATTATTCATCCATAAAAAGGAATGAAGTAGTAATACATGTTACAATGTGGATGAACCTCAAAAAACAGTGTGTTAGATGAAAAAAGCCAGATACAAAAGAGTAAATATTTTATTATGCCATTTACATAAAATATCCAGGAAAATCTGTAGAGACAGAAAACAGTTTAGTGGTTGCCAGAGACTAGGAGCAAGGTAGAATGGTGTAATTAGTGGGTGTGGGTTTCCTTTTGGGTGATAAAAATGTACCGAAATTAGATGGAGGTGATGGTTAGACTAATCATGAATTTAAATGCCACTTAATTGTACCCTTTAAGATGGTTAATTTTAATTTTACTTCAGTAAAAATCTTTCCAACTTAAAAATTTTCATTAAAAAGAGATGGCTGCAACAATAAAAGAGTAATTGTGTGAGGTGAAGGATATGATATTGTGGTAATCACTTCACAGTATACATGTGTATCAAATCACATTGTACTCCTAAAACACACTCATGTTATATATCAATTAAATCTCCTTAAAGCTGGAAGGGTGGGTGAGTGGTTTAGGAGAATGAATATGGACGATTGAGTCAGGGAGACCAATAAGAAGTCTTGGCAGTAGTTCAGACAAGATTTAATGTTTGACTAGAGCAAAGGAGGTAGTAATTGCTGTGGAGAGAAGTGGACAGATGCCAGATATGTTGTGGAGTTGACAGGACTTGTTGGGTTGAACATAGGTTGTGAAAGAAAGAAGAATTAAGAATGACGCTTAGATATTTTGCCATGAAAACAGGAGTATGATGACGTTCTGTTATCCCTTGATAAGGGACCCTAAGTTCTAGAATGCAGGGTCTTCCTCCAGAGCTCAGCTGTAACCAGTATCGGTATTCCTGAGTCAGGGACAGCGTTAGCAAAAGCTCCCATCCTAATCTCAACCCGTTTCCACGATAAGGTATTTTAAGTAACTCAGAATTATTGCTAACTCTCATTTAGCAGGCTCATACCCATTCTCAACTCTGGTTATGATGCTAGTCCTACCCAGACAGAGCTCTGCCCAGAGCCCTCCTCCCTATGCCTGACAGGATCGTGTTTAAACAACTGTCCCCCTTCCCCTCCCAGGAGGCTGAGCAGCCTCTCTTCAGACTCCCTCCTCTTACTGGGCCTGATCTATTCTCTGCCTCTGCTGGGCTGCCTTCTCCCCACGTGTATTTCTAAAGGCCTTTTGTGCCACCCCAACACTTTCCTGCCCAAAGCTTCACCTGAATCCCCCAACTTACCCGAGGATGTGGTACTCCCAGGCAGCTACCCTGACTTATGTGAGCCTCACCTGCTATCTCTCCCTCCACAGGGGACCCCCACCCCGCAGAGGGCCGGCTCACGAACAGCTGTCTCCAGGCCAGGAGGAAATGCCAGGCCAATCCCACCTGCAATGCCGCTTACCACCACCTGAGTTCCTGCGCTTCCAGTGTCAGCACCCCGTCCCCCGCAGAGGAGCCTTCAGTTCCTGTGGACTGCATGGAGGCAGCACAGCACCTCAGGAACAGCTCTCTGATGAGCTGCACGTGTCACCGGCGCATGAAGAACCAAACTGCCTGCCTGGACATCTACTGGACTGTTCACCCCGCCCGCAGCCTTGGTGAGGTCCCCAGCCTAGAGTGGACTAAGCTAGAGAAGACGGCTCTAGGGGGTTGTTTTTTAATCCTTCAGAATAGGAGCCACTGGGTAGACTCTGAGCGGGATGTGTCATCAGTAAGAAGTGGAGGGAGGAACTCGCAGTATCCTTTTGGGTCTCCCAACATTACCGTCTCACTTCCCACGTTCTTACCTGACAGCATGTAGCTGCCTCTTGGCAGAGGCCTGAAACAGGCTGAGGTCCAACCTGAGGAGCTGCTGGGACAGAAGAGTTTGGAGCGGGGGTGGAGGAAAACGATCTTAACCCCTAAACAGGCTCCAAATACAATGTAATCCATAAATTCAGAGACTGGGAGGCAGTGCGCTGGCCCAGCCTTCAATAGAAAGGATACTCATTCCAGGCAGGAGATGGTAAAAGAGAGAATATATTTTGAAGAGCCAAAGAAAAAAGCTTCCTCTAACTTGGTGTTAGTCAGTTTTTACTGGACCGTGCCGTAGTAACAAAGGCTTAGTTCTTGCCCATGTTCCATGTGTTCCCTTCATTTCGGGATTCAGGCTGAAGTTACAGCCTCTGTCTGGGATGTTCCCTTCTTCTTCTTCTTCTTCTTCTTCTTCTTCTTCTTCTTCTTCTTCTTCTTCTTCTTTTTTTTTTTAAATATATTTTATTGATTTTGTACAGAGAGGAAGGGAGGAGATAGAGAGCTAGAAACATCGATGAGAGAATCATCGATCAGCTGCCTCTTGCACACCCCCTACTGGGGATATGCCCACAACCAAGGTACATGCCCTTGACCAGAATCGAACCCAGGACCCTTCAGTCCCCAAGCCAACGCTCTGTCCATTGAGCCAAACCAGTCTCGGCTGGGATGTTCCCTTCTTATAGCAAAAGGACATGAACAATGGCAGGACCATGTGATGGCTTTAAGAGCTCCTGCTCAGATGTTATATATAAAATACTTATGCTCACATTTCACTGATAAAGTAAATCACATGGCAGGCATGCCTAACATCACAGGGAGACAGTGAAAATCACATGCCAATAAGTGAGGGTATATATTCTTACAGTGAGGGAAAAATTAACTGGAAACAATAATACAGTCTCCATGGTCCACCACTTGGTCAAAATATTTAGTTTCCTCTCTTCCAAAAGCAAAATATACTTATACGCATCTTAGGAAGATGCCCTAAGAGTTTTATCCAAGCATGACATCAGGCCTCAAGTCCAGGATCTTGTGATTTTTTCTGCATCAGGTCTGAGTGTGGCTCCTCTTGATTTAGAAAATTATGGACTAAAAAGACAAGTCACCTGCCTCCCATGTATACTTAATGCACAGTAATGGAACAGGGCAGGAAAATCAGCACAAGCATTGTCAGTAAGAAAGAAGAGGGATGGGAGTCAGGCTTTGATTCAGGGAGACTCTGAAGTCCTGCTAGACAAATGTCACAGGGCCATCTTCCTGGGGAACTGGGGTTGTTCTTGCTCCATGGGAGACTTGCTCTATTCATTGTCCTTTAGCTCTCTGGGAGGGCCTTCCTTTTCTGTCACTTAATATCATTGATAGATTCTTGGAAACTTCAACAAGTGAAGCGACATAGAATGAAACCAATTTTCCCAGAGGCTAATTGACATTAACAAGAGTTAAGTTCCTATGGCATATTTCTGGCCTCAAAACATCCCCAAACTTCTAAATAAAGACCCAAACATTTCTGATACTAAACATTGAAATAAATGTGAGCTGTACACACATTTAAGAATGACTAATAAAAACAAGTAAGATAATGTATTCCAGTTCAGGGTCATGGGTGACCAGAGCCTATCTTGGCAGCTCAGGGTGCAATGCAGGAACCCACCCTGGACAGGAGGCCCTTCTGTTAAAAGGTCACTCATGCCCACAGCCACGCTCACTCAGATGAGACCATGTGCACATGCTGGTTCACCTAACATGCACATATTTGGGAGCGGGAGGAACCTGGAGTACCTAGAGAAAATCCATGCAGACATGGGGAGATGTGCAAACTCCACACAGACAGTTGCTCTGAGGAGAATCAATTGTTTCCCCTCACCAACATTATAATGAAACTATGTAGAACTAAATGACATAATTCAAAGACCTGCTGTGTTTTCTTTGGTCACATCTGAAAAGGGCTGGAGAGAGAACCTGACTGAGCAGCATTCTCAGCCTGCTTCTTATCTGAGGAATGTTGGGGCATTTTAAGTCTCCAATAGACACAATCTCTTTTCATCCAAATTGGTGTCTCTTAGTATTATAGTTGAACTCTTTCAAAATATAGTTTCTTTTTATACTTTGATTTCTGCCCTTCCTGTGCCAGCATTGGCCTTTCCTATACTTATTTTTAAGACCTCCATCTCTTTCTAGACAGAATTAGAGATACCTTGCCCTTATCAGACTTCTGTGGGAGAGCAATTACCTTATTCTTTTTTTCTCCAAATTTGTTTGTCCAACTGGCAGGATTTAGGATACCATCTCAATCAATGAGAGATCTCCACAAAGGGCATGATAACCACAAACTTGATTTGGTCTTTGCTCCAAGACTGAGTTGTAACAGACTTTATTACTCAAAACACACACACACACACACACACACACACACACACACACACACACACATATATATATATATATATATATATATATATATATATATATATATATATATATATATTATTGAATTCAGAGAGGAAGGGAGAGGGAGAAAGAGAGAGAGACATCAATGATGAGAGAGAATTATTGATTGGCTGCTTCTTGCACGCCCCCACTGGAGATTGAGCCCGAAGGGCGGGCATGTGCCCTTCACCAGAATCGAACCTGGACCCTTCAGCCTGCATCCCGATGCTCTGTTCACCAAGCCAAACCAGCGAGGGCAGTGGTCGACAAACCATGGCTCACGAGCCACATGAGAGTGGCTCTTCCACAAAATACCATGACCTGGGCGAGTCTATTTTGAAGAAGTGGCGTTAGAAGAAGTTTAAGTTTTAAAAATTTGTCTCTCAAAAGAAATTTCGCTCCTTGTACTGCTGATATTTGGCTCTGTTGACTAATGAGTTTGCCGACCACTGGGCTAGGGCACTCAAAGCATTTTTCAGTTTTATTTTTTACCATTTGAATATGAGAAGCAGTTGCAACTCTTACTCCTGTAAGTCCTGGAATTGCTGGATTCTCCCTTTTCTGTTTCTTTTCTCTTTGCAAACTGGCCAGTTTGTTTCTGAGCTTATATCTTCCTTCCAGTCCCTTGCCAAATCCAGCCAATAGCAATGAAGACATACTACTAACCTCCTGTTTATCAGCTTCTCCCCTTAAAGTATGAGCTCATTCAGTATGTCATCTTTCTTCCAAGTTCACCACCCTGTTCAGTCCCAAAGCCAATGCCATATGTTAGACTTTTGTTGATGTTGTTCCTGCAGCACTCCACTTCTACTTACCAATTGCATTTTTAGTAAGAATTTGCGCCGAGACCGGTTTGGCTCAATGGATAGAATGTCGGCTTGGGGACTGAAGGGTCTCGGGTTCGATTCCGGTCAAGGGCATGTACCTTGGTTGCGGGCATATCCCCAGTAGGGGGTGTGCAAGAGGCAGCTGATCGATGACTCTCTCTCATCGATGTTTCTGACTCTATCTCTCTCCATTCCTATCTGTACAAAATAAATAAAATATATTAAAAAAAGAAAAAAAAATTTGCTATGTTATGCTGCAGTAATAACCAACCAACCTCAAAATCTCTGGCTTTCAACAACAAAAATGTATTTCTTGCTCATGCTACACACCTGCTGCAGGCTTCCATGAGTTGCTCTACCTGTCTTCTTCATTCAGGGAAACAGGCTGATAGAGGTAAGAGAGCAACAGCAGACCCAGGTAATGGTTCCTAAAACTTTTGCTCAGATAGATGTTATTTATGAAACTTCAGCTCACAATGCACAGGCCAAAGTAAATCACATGGCCAAGCCTGGCAGTGGGACAGGGATCTGAAAGTCACATGGTGACAGGTGGGGATGTATAATCTCCCCACAGGGTGGGTAGCAAATAATTGGAAACAGTAATACAATTTATCACACTCTTCGATTCCTGCTTTTCACTCCTCATCTTAATCCTTCTGTTTCAGAACTTCCCCTGAGACTTCTCCTTGGATCCTTTTGCCTCCCTTTCCCCCTTAGAGGCATGAGGTCTTTCCATGTATCCAAACTGTCCTCTCCTGTTTGGCTGCCATTATCCATATTCCTCATTTCCTGAAGATGCATTCATAGAGGTTTATTGGGTGTCAAAACTGAAAGCTCACCTCTCTCGCCTCTCTTCCAGCAAGATTTGTTAACCAACATTTACAGAGTACCTACCATGTATATGAACTATGCCCCCCTTAAGGAGCCCGCAGCCCCATGGGGGTACTGTGAGAGATGTGTTTCCTTCAAGATCACTGTTTCTTCTGTCTAAGCTTTTCTACCTCAGGTTCACTTTGGGACCTGGCCTCACTTCCATCTCCTCGGCATGCAGTGCTTCCATAGCCAAGTGGGCAGGCCTGGAACAGAGTCTACCACTGCCCCTTCTTCAATAGGAAGAGAAAACAAGACAGAGTACTGTAGCCTGCTCATGGACCCTCAGAAATATGTCTAGTGCTTAGGAGCAGAGATTCTGTAATCAGCGAGTCTAAGTTTGAAATCCTGGCTCCACTTTTTAGCTTATGTGAGTCTGAGCAAGCGACTTAACTTCTCTCATCCTGTTTCTTCTTACCTACCCAAAGGCTTTTTAGGAGATCAAATATATATAGAATATATGTACAGGATGTCCCCCCAAAATGTATACACACTTTAACAGCTGACAGCTCAATTGATGTTTCTTTCTTTTCAGATTTAACCCATTGGAATTAATAATGGATTAAAAGTGTGTATATATTTAGGGGGACACCACCATATATATATATATATATTCACTTAGATTCTAGTGCCCAGCACACAGTGTGCTCACCATGGTACCTTTACTATTCTTACCATTAAACCTAGTTTATTCAGGGCCCTGCTCTTTCTCTCTTCTCACAGCTTACAGCTAGTTAGGAAGAGACTGCGTTTTCCTTTTCTCCACAGAGCTTTGAGGTCTGACTTAGCAGCCTCAGTTTCTCCTACTCCCATCCCCGGCCCGGACCTCAGGACTCTGGTGCTCCCCTCCTTGTCTCTAGGTGACTATGATCTGGATGTCTCCCCCTATGAAGACACAGTGACCAGAAAACCCTGGAAACTGGATATCAGCAAACTGAGCATCCTCAAGCCAGGTGTGGAGGCAAGACTGCGGTGTGGGGGCTGGGCCTGGGTCCTGGTGGGGAACCCAAGCTGGGAGCTTGTGAGGGAAGAGTCCTCACCTGCCAGGTTACTACAGCAGCACTGTGCAGGGTGGGAGCCTGAGTTCTGGGGCATAGTCTGGCCTCACAAGAGCCATCAAAAAGCAATAGTTATCAGGGAGGCATTCGAAGTGAGCCCATTAGGGCTCCTTGGTTCCAAAAGGTGGGTTTCGGCAAAGGATTTGTGGCAGTGGCAGCAGTCCCAGGAAAAAAATGTACCTCATTCTTGACAGCCACAAACGTGGTTTTTTTTTGCCCTGGCTTTGGGTAGCTCAGTTGGTTAGAGCGTCGTCCCGATATGCCATGGTTGTGAGTTTGATCCCTGGCCAGGACACATATAAGAATCAACCAGTGAGTGCATAAGTAAGTGGAACAACAAGTCCATCTTTCTCTCTAAACCCCCCCTCCCCCCAAATTCCTTTTAAGTAGGTTTTTTGTCTCTGAAGACTAGGAAATTGCTTGTTTTCAACCATTTTAATGGGATGGGCAGGGAAAATGGTTAGAGAGTATGACTCCTCAGGGGTTTCTGAGGGTGGGGAGCCATCTGTCTGGCAAAGACTGTGATGCATGTTTTTCAGGAAGGTGAAGCTATCATGTTAATTGGAAGGAAACACACACACACATATCCACACTCTTTTTGAGAAAGATGCGAGTTTTGTTATATAGTCCTACGTATTCGAATTTTGAGAGAAAAGCAAAGAGATCTATATAGAAACTTTTAGTCACATGGAATCCAGGAATTTACCTGTTCCGGTTACTCCATTGTTCTGATTGCTAGGATATTCGATTAATTGGAACATCACTGTAATTTCCCAAGACTCAGGAGAATGGGGAACTTTTATGCATGCATCAACCAATGTAAGAAAAGCGGGTGGCTGAGCAGAATTAGGTAGGTGTGAAACAAAACAAAAATCCTAAGTAGAATTAGGTTGCATTTGTTGGACAGTTCAGAAAGTGCTTTATTAATCCTCACCAGAGGGCATTTTTTCCCATTGATTTTAGAGAGAGTGGAAGGGAGGGGAAGAGACAGAAATATCGATGTGGGAGAGACACATGGATTGGTTGCCTACTGCAGGGGCCCGTGTATCAAGCCTACAGTCTAGCTACCTGCCTGCAAGCCAACAAGGCTGTAACCACTGAGCAAACCAGCTCGGGTCAGAAAGCGCTTCAGATTGTTGTAGGGGTCTCTAGCTTATTTCCACCATGAGATCTCATTCGATACATAAGACTGAGGAAAGGGTTTTGGTAATGTGAGCTTTCTGGCTCCTTGAATTCTAGATAAATGAGCTCTAGATGTACATTATGTGGGGTTTACTCCCCTGGTCAAGCTGAGGAGTACCCCCACTACCATGCTTGTTAAATCAGAGGGCTGCAAGGATTCCTAGGGAAGCTGGGTTTGCAGGAGGACTGGCGACCTGGTGCGGCTCTCTCCACAGACTCGGACCTCTGCCTGAAGTTCGCCATGCTGTGCACTCTCAACGACAAGTGTGACCGGCTGCGCATGGCCTACGGGGAGGCCTGCTCCTCGGGGCCCCACTGCCGGCGCCCCGCCTGCCTCCAGCAGCTCCGAGCTTTCTTCGAAAAGGCGCCGGAGCCGCACGCGCAGGGCCTGCTGCTGTGCCCCTGCGCGCCCTCCGACCTGGGCTGCGGGCAGCGCCGGCGCAACACCATCGCCCCCAGCTGCGCGCTGCCGCCCGGGACCCCCAACTGCCTGGAGCTGCGGCGCCTCTGCCACGCAGACCGGCTGTGCAGGTGTGTGTGTGTGGGGGGGGGGGATGGGGGGGTAGATAGAGGAGGGTGTGGTGGGGGGAAATGGGGACGATGGGGGTGGGGGAGTGCGCGGGCGCCGGGAGGGCAGGGTCTGCAAGGACACAGTGTGCACCGTTCCCTCCAGGCCGCGCTGGGTCTGACTGCTGGGGGCTGTGGACTGACTTAACCATGTAACTACCCTTCAGAACTTTGTGAAACTCGTTTCTCAAAAAGAATACATCGCATTATCTTCCGGGGACGGTGACTTCACCATGGTCCAGCGTTTGACAGACCGCCGGAGGCTGTCCTACAATACAGCCTCTAACAAAGCTAGACCGTCCCGAACCCCGGGTAATAGGATTGTTCCCCTTTACACCGAGAAGGCTGGGAAAGCACCCAGCTCTGCGTGTGGTGTGTGCCCAGGCCGACTTCAAGTTCGTGCTGTGAGGCCTAAAGTTCTCATGAGGTTGTCTAAAACGAAAAATCGTGTCAGCGGGACCTCTGGTGGATCCGTGTGTGCTGAATGTGTCCGTGACAGGATCAAGCGGGCTTTCCTTATTGAGGGGCAGAAAATGGTTGTGAAAGTGTTGAAGGCACAAGCACAGAGTCAGAAAGCTAAATAAATGTAAAAATCAAGCTTTTTTGAAAAAAAAGAAAAAGAAAAAAGAATACATCGTATTTTACTTGTGTGAAAACTTGAGAAAATATAAAAACCTACAAAAATACCACTCAGAATCCATTACCTGAAGCTAATTGGCCATACTTTGGGGAGCATTTCATTCTAGTCCTTTTTTGTATATGGATAAAGAAAAATTGATATTCTGGGAATGTGTTTATATCTTGCATCTCCTCATTTATGGTACATATCGTAGGAGCATTTTCTGGTGGAGGCAGTATGGGATAGTGGTGAGGACAGGCTCTGAAGTCAGATCTAAATTTAAGTTGTGGGTCTGTGTGACCCCTTGAGCCAATCATTTTACCTAAAATTCCATCACCTAACCCAGGTCTCTGCCTAATGCAGGTTTACCTCTGTAAAAACTGAAATAATAACTTATAGGAGTTTGGTGAGAATTAAAGTACATAATTTATGTATAGTGCTTAACTTACTGGTACAAAGTAAGTACTCAATAAATGGTGGTGCTTATTTTGTCATTTACTATCGTTTAACAACTTGGCTTTTTGGATGTTCTTTTTTTTGTTAATCCTCACCCCATGATTTTTCCCCCCATTGATTTTTATTTATTTTATTTTTTTTAAAATTTTTATTGATTTTTTTATTTTATTGAATTTGTACAGAGAGGAAGGGAGAGAGATAGAGAGCTAGAAACGTCAATGAGAGAGAAACATCGACCAGCTGCCTCTTGCACACCCCCCGCTGGGGATATGCCTGCAACCAAGGTACATGCCCCTGACCGGAATCGAACCTGGGACCCTTCAGTCCCCAAGCCGACGCCCTATCCATTGAGCCAAACCGGTTTCGGCTTTTTTTTCTTCCCCCATTGATTTTTAGAGAGAGTAAAAGGGAGGGAGGAAAGCAGGGGGAGAAAGAAAGAGAGAGAGAAAAACAACTATGTGAGAAAGACACATTGGTTGCCTTCTGCACTCTCCCAGACCAGGGCCTGGGTTCAAACCTGCAACCCACGTATTGCCCTTCACCAGAAATGAACCTCTAGCCAACACTCTAACTATTGAGCCAAGCTGGCTAGGGCAACCACTTTTTTTTTTTTTTTTTAATATATTTTTATTGATTTCAGAGAGGAAGGAAGAGGGAGAAAGAAATAGAAACATCAAAGATGAGAGAGAAACACTGATCGGCTGCCTCCTGCAAAGCTCCCCACTATGGATTGAGCCTGCAACCCAGGCATATGTCCTTGACCAAAATCGAACCCAGGACCCTTCAGTCTACAGTCTGACTCTCTATCCACTGAGCCAAACCAGCCAGGGCACCACTTGATTTTTAAGAGCCTACTCCATTTTATGGATGCCTTGTATTTTATTTAATCATTCTTTATTGTGGGATATTTAGGATGTTTTCTAAATAAAGCTACATAAGTATCACTCTAATTTATTAATGTTGGTACACAAATCTAATTATTGATTAGGATGTGTTGCTTACAAGTACCATTACCGAATCAAAGGGTGTGGGGATTTGAAAGGTATTCGATATGTATTATTTAGCCAAATTCTGATCTGGCTTTCCTCTGCCTCGTCAGGAAAACACTCACCAAAATGTAGTTACCATCCATTCAAGTGACATTTGTTGACAATGGAGTCACATCAACCTTGTTTTGCAACCTGATTCTTCCACTTACTTCTCAGTAACCTTGGGCAAATTGTTTAGCCTCTGAATCCCACTTTCCTCTTCTGCAAAACATTACAGTCAGAGCTCTCAATGGTTATATTACTAACACTTACGGAATACTGACTATGAGCTAGGCACTGTTTTAATACTTACCATGTATTAATTAACTCATCTAAACCTAACAAGAGCTCTGTAAGTTAGGCCAAAACCGGTTTGGCTCAGTGGTAGAGCATCGGTCTGCGGACTGAAGGGTCCCGGGTTCGATTCTGGTAAGAGGCATGTATGTTTGTTGTGGGCACATCCCCGGTAGGGGGGTGTGCAGGAGGCAGCTGGTCGATGTTTCTCTCTCATCGATGTTTCTAACTCTCTATCCCTCTCTCTTCCTCTCTGTAAAAAATCAATAAAATATATATATTTTAAAAAAAGAGCTCTGTAAGATAGATTCTGGGTTTGTTTGTTTTTATCAGCCTCAGTTTACAAATGAAGAAGCCACAGCAGAGAAAGGGTAAAGGACATGGTCATGTTCACCCAGGTAGTAAGTCAGGTTTGTTAAGAAGGTGTGGAATGAAGTCTGGCCTAGAGTCTGTGCTCCTAACTTCTCTGACACACTGCCTGTTATTGTGCTGGTAACTAGTACTGATACATAACAAGTGCTGGCCTAGATAAAAATATCATTCCTTTCTTCAAGGAGTTTGCATTTGAGTGGGGATGACAGAGAAGTAAGCCACCACCTAACACAAAGCAAAATATAAGGAAAACTGCAGAAATTTATACAGAAAAACATACTCATAATTCCATCATCTGAAGATAAAGTTTTACTTATTGTAGGATGAATGTTAATAATAACATCCAAGGCGTATTAAGCAATAAGTACCAGGCACTATGCTAAATGCTTATTTCATCCTCACAAAATTCATGATCTCTATTTACAGTGGAGGAAACTGAGGTTAAAGAAGCTGCCTGAGATCTCATAACCAGGGATTGTGGAGCTCAAATTCAGAGTGATATGCTGTGGGGACCGCGGTGATAGTGCATTTAACTGTGACAGGAGCAGACTCCACTGGGCCGGGCTCTGAAGGCAGAGGAGGATTTGTCACGAAGATGGGCCTGTCAGCTGAAGGGGCGGCATAAGATCTGGCTGCAGGCCAGGTCCTCAAAGGAAACTCTTGAATGTTCTTTCTTCCAGATCACGCCTGGCCGATTTTCAGACCCATTGCCATCCCATGGACATCCTAGGGACCTGCGCTACAGAACAGTCCAGATGTCTGCAAGCATACATGGGGCTGATTGGTGAGGCTAGAGGATATAGGCAGGCCCTGGGGTGAGAATGCTCTGGCTACTGAACCCAGATGGAGTGCTCCTGAGATTGATGAGAGAGGGTGGGAGCTGAAGTTGGAGTTGGCCTAGGCTCTGACAATCCCCTCTTTACCCCCCAGGAACTGACATGACCCCCAACTTCATCAGCAACGTCAATGCCAGTGTTGCCTTAAGCTGTACCTGCCGAGGCAGCGGCAATCTGCAGGAGGAGTGTGAGCGGTTGGAAGAGTCCTTTTCCCACAACCCCTGCCTCAGTAAGTGTGCTCCCTCCGCTCCCTCCTCAGTGGCCAGGCCATCTGGTCCCAGGGAGAGGAAAAGGGTCAGCTCTGTCTGTCTTCTGCAGGCCGAGCAGCGCCCTCTTCAGGATAGGTTTACATCCCCCAGCCTGGGCCTTTCTTCCTACTCCTGCTCCCTGAGGGACCTCCAGGCTTCCTGTTCAACCTGTCTGGGCCCAGGACACCACACCTCTTTCTTGATGCTGTCCTTTCTTCGCGTCTACCCTGTTATATCCCAGGGTCCCAGAGATATTCCATTTCCTTCCTTGGGGGCCTAAAGAGCCCACAACTGTCCACTTATAAACTATCTTCTCCCTCTCTCTTTTTAAAAAAATATATATTTTATTGATTTTTTTACAGAGAGGAAGAGAGAGGGATAGAGGGAGAATCATCAACCAGCTGCCTCTTGTATACCCCCTACTGGGGATGTGCCCGCAACCAAGTACATGCCCTTGTCCGGAATCGAACTTGGGACCTTTCAGTCCACAGGCCCATGCTCTATCCAATGAGCCAAACCGGTTTCGGCTAAACTATCTTCTCTTTTCTCCTCAGTGGAGGCTATTGCAGATAAGATGCGTTTCCACAGCCAGCTCTTCTCCCAGGACTTGTCAGACTCCACCTTACCCATGATGGAACGCCAGGTAGGGCCTCCTCTGTTACACTCCTCATACCTTTACTGAATCGTCTGGAGAATCCCAGACAAGGCAGGCTGGGGGATGAAGCGGGTAACGTCCCTGTTATCACAAATACTCTAGGCCTCTAATAGACACCTTAGGTGAAGGGGGCAGGCCTGGACGGAGGCCGAGATGGTGAAGGGGAAAGAGCTAACTCCATCGCATTTCTTCCACAGAACAAAAACCTTGCTTTAAGGCCACAGCTCTGGATGCCATCTCTCTTCTCCTGCACACTGACCTTGATTCTACTCCCAAGTTTCTGATAGCTGGACATCCCTAGGGCCCCTGGTCCCCTCTACTACGCCCAGCCTGACCTGCCGCCTTCAAGAAGTGGGGAAAGGACCGCATCCAGAAGGAGGCGCAGTACACAACATGGCCACCCTGACACCCCCACCGCTGCACATTCACACAATCGAAGCTGACTGGCTAAGGTCTCATTCCCTCCACGGCTGACTCAGGCCACCCCTCCTTGGGAATTGGTCACCATAGTTTAGCCATATCTTCTGGTGGTGACTGGCCCTACTAAGCTCCCTCCTGCACCCTTCCTCCCCGGATCATTAGGGTTTAACAAATCAGTGGCTATTGCATTCTCCAGGTAGTCAGGGCTGGGTGTTCTGAGGCAGCTTAGAAACACAGCCTCCATTGTTAGGAAGGCCAACGCAAGAATCCTGCTCCCTCATCAGTAGCCAGAGCATTCTCACCCCAGGGCCTGTCCTGCCTGGAACCTTACAGAGCATTTGAGCATCAGGAGCTGGAGTATTTAGGCCTTGATTTCCTCCTGCTACTGCCCCAAAGTCCTCCCAGCCTCTTGGATTATGATTAAACATTTTGACTTAAAACTTTGCTCTTTTTTCCATTTTCACACATTGTGAATTTATACAGAACTTGGGATTTTACAGGCAGAGGAGCACAGACCAGTGATCGGGGACATATCAACTCTACCACCAACTGCTGTGTGACCTTAGGCAAGTTTCCCAGCCTCTCTGTGTTCTTGACATAGAATTGGAAAAAGAAGAAAAAAATAGCTTATCTGAGGCTGTGGATCTGTATCTGTCCAAGCTCCAGCCATTCCTGGGATACTGTCTGGGATCTGTCACAGCAGCATAGAGGGGAGGGTCCTTAGTCAAACACAGTATTTATTGGGTACCTGCTTGTGTTACTGTTCTGCTCCACAGTCCAATGGGGGCTTGAGGAAAGGGGAGACTGGTACTTGATCTGATTAGCAACCCTGTTGGGATAAGGAAACAGCCAGCTATGCAAAAATAGTTGGAAAAATATATTTACAGGGTTGTGGACATTTGTCCGTTAACTCATTCACTCACCCTTTCCATAAGCACCTGATGAATGCTGGTTGCAAGGCACTGTGCTACATGCAGGAGATTCCAAGGTAATAATACTCAGATCCTGTTTTCAAGCCTTGCACAAGGCAGGAGAGTAGACAAGACAGTCAATAAAAAATGCAGTGTGGTAAGTGCTGTGCAATAATCATAATGATAACCTCAGTTATTGAACCCCTACTGTGTGCAAGTACATGTATTAATCATTTTAATCCTCCAACAACACTTGGTTTTGTCAGTGTTTTAACTATGTGATCTTGGGTTTAACCTCTCTGGGCCTTATTATCCACATGTGTAACATGGAAGAAGCCTAGAATCTACCACATAAGAAATGAGATAAGCCATGTAAAAGCATTGTGACTGACACAAAGTAAGAACTCAAAGGAGTTAGCAATTATAGTATAAGGTTTTTGTAGAGAATTCGGGTGATATAGATAATTATCAAGAAGAAATGAAAAACCTTTAAAATCTCACTGTCAAACTTCCAAATCTGCTCCCTACACATCTGTACACATGAGCATCTAAGGGTATGTATAATTTTTACATAAGGAGAGGCAGACACTGCATATCGAAGTGTAAGTCATAGCACCTTTCAGCATCCATGAGTAGAGCTTGGTCTACATCACCCTTTTTATCAGCTTTGTAACATGCACTTGTATGAATTTATTAGTTCTATAAGTATAGTTTATTTAATGAGTTCTGTAGTAATGGATATCTGCTTGTTTTCCTATTTTTCTCCACCCAGATTTTAAGGCAATTTGGGCGTAGGATGTATAGAGGGGCTGCAGAGTGGTGGGTAGAATAGGAAAACCTCTTCCTGAATATTCTTGTATCCCCATTGGCCACGCATTTCCAGGAAATATACAAACCACCTTCCTCCCCGAAAACTCCAGTGGGACGCTGGAAGAACCTTCCCTTCTTCCCCTCCCAGGAAGATCTCTGAGCTGTCAGGGCCTCTCCATTTGCGTTGGCTCCATTAGCCTAGGGCCAGGGTGTGAATGGTACAGTCACTCCTTGCTAAGTGCTTGAATTAGACTAATAGGTCATCTGTGCTTTTCTCTGAAGAAGGTCCAAATTCCTGGTAAACAACCAAACCTCTCTCCCAGCCCAGGGCCCAGAGCCAAGACCGGGGGTGGGGGCACAGTGACTGGACTGAAGCTTTTAATGGTATCCTGGCTGGCTGGGATGGTTAATGCCATTAGACTAGCTTCTGGGTAGCGAGGTGGGAAGAGCTGCTGGCACCATTAATAAACGGAGAGTACTGAATTGTAGACGTCTGCATGTTTGGGGTGAAGCACACTGTCTTTTAAATAACTATCTTCAAATCCACTCATTCCATCATTCAGTCAGTCAATGAACCTTTAACAAGTACTTGTTCTGTATTTTTCAAGATCTGTCCTTACCCATTCATAAGCTACCACTTCAGTGAAGGGGCAGCCCAGGACTCTGGCAGCTGGGCCTCAAGTTTAGGCGGCTGAGGCTCTTTATCCTGGTTGATTATAACAGTCAGCTGTTTGACCTCGGGAAATATTCTTTACTCCTCTGACCCACTATTTCCTCATCTACAGTGGAGATGCCAACTTAAAGGGTTTGCTCTATTTTTAAATATATACAACAGTAATTTGGTTTTAGCTAAAAAAACGAATTGGCAGCTTTAGCTGGTTTGGCTCAGTGGATAGAGAGAGCATCAGCCTGGGGACTGAAAATTCCCAGGTTCGATTCTGGTCAAGGGCACATGCCCAGGTTGCAGGCTCAGTCCCCAGTAGGGGGCATGCGGGAGGCAGCTGATCAATGATTCTCTCTCATCATTGATGTTTCTCTCTCTCCCTCTCCCTTCCTCTCTTAAATCAATAAAAATATATCAACTAATGTTTATATAAATTTTAATGGTTTGGGTTGGCAATCTTTTGGCTTCCTATTTCTATAAAAGCTTAATAAGCATGAGGAATTTATGCTCATTTTGATCTCCATAAAAATATTGAAAACCAACTAGAGTTGTGTTGATGACTGGAAATAATTATAACAGTATAGTGCCTGATACGGCATGAAGACTCAATCAGTGACAGCTATTACTATTATTTCTGGGAGAGGATCTGTAGGCACCATGTATTCCACTCCCTGCACTGGAATGGTGGTGAGTGATGGTGCTGGCCCTCCCTCCAAATGGGCTGAATTCTGGGAGATTCACTATTCAAGGTCTGAACTGCAGGATGAAGCCAGTGCTCTGGGTCTGTAGCTCAGGCCCTGAGGGACCTTGCACAAGCCATGGACTCAAAGAAAATGCTTTAATCCAGGGTCTTTTAGCTACAAGTAACTGAAACATTGGAATTACTTGGTAAAAAGGGAGTGTCATGCGACCCAGGAGTACAGCCAGGCCTTTGGGGATCTGGAACTGGCAAGCCAGGGTCCAGTTTTGAGCCCTACTTATTGAAGGCCTAGACATAGACCATCTACTTCACTCTCTCTGCAGACCTGCTTCTTCTGCATGATATTCCAGGTATAGCAACTTCGGCTAAACGACCTCCTATCCCAATTTCAAATTCATGGAAAATCTGATTGCCCATGCACAGGTTCTAGATTGGCTTTTCTGGATCGAGGGTCCATCTCAGGCCTATCAGCTGGGAAAAGAAACCAGTTCCATGTGCCAGCAAAGTGATTACAGGCTCCCAGGCCTGTTAGTGGAGGGCAGTTCTGAGAAGTCAGTGTGGCTCACTAGTACCCCCAAAGGCATAGACGCTTGTCAGGGAATTGGGGTGAATCTTAATCACCTGAGGTCCAGATTTGCTTCTGTGTCTTTCTCCCTGACCTAGAAGTGACTTTTCTGAGCTTCCTTCTTGGATGCCCTGAAGGGAGGGGAATGTAGAAACACAGGGAAGGTACTGCAGCACCTTTGGGTCTGAGAAACTCTAGGAGGTAGATCTGAGGGTTTTTTTTTTATGGCTTTAGAAGAAGGCTTTACTACTGTGGGGCTTGCTAGATTTCTGATCCTTGCAATTGAAGAGGAAAGCAAAGTGAAGACAATCAGAATATGCCACCTGCTCTAGCCGATTTGGCTCAGTGGGTAGAGCATCAGCCTGGGGACTGAAGGGTCCCAGGTTCGATTCCAGTCAAGGGCACATGCCTAGGTTGCAGGCACAGTCATGCAGGAGGCCAGATGATCGGTGATTCTTATTATTGATGTTTCTATCGCTCTCTTCCCTCTCCCTTCCTGTCTAAAATTAATAAAAATATATTTAAAAAATATGCCATCCCAAAATATGCCACTTTGGCATAAGGATTGATTTTAATTGAAGGCAACTGAGAATCAACAGAGGCAGGAAGAATTCTCTGCCACCCCTTATGGGCCTGAAAGCAGGGCATAACTGAAGGCAAAGTCAACAACAAGATGAATTTGCATAAACTGACATTACTTAAATAGCCCCTCCCATTAGTTTCCCCCATAGATTTCCTAGTCATCCCCACAATTTATTGTCCCTTGGACTCCTTGTTAAAAGGACATATCCTTGCCGAAACCTGTTTGGCTCAGTGGATAGAGCGTCAGCCTGCGGACTGAAAGGTCCCAGGTTTGATTCCGGTCAAGGGCATGTACCTGGGTTTCCGGCACAACCCCAGTAGGAGTTGTGCAAGAGGCAGCTGATCGATGATTCTCTCTCATCGATGTTTCTAATTTTCTATCCCTTTCCTTTCCTCTCTGTAAAAAATCAATAAAAAAAAAATATATATAAAAGGACATATCCTTGTTAAAAGGACATATAAGATTTCAATCTAACCCCAAGTCTTGTTTTACTTCTTTTCTACAGGTAAATATTAATAAAAAATTGTGCCTTTTCTCTCATTAATCCATCTTTTGCTAGCTTAAGTCTAGTTCTAATAGGGCAGAAGAAAAAGTTTTTCCTCCACAACAAAAGCATGGCCAACATCCTTGT